ACACAGGCGAAACTTCAGCTGAGAACAGTCGAAACAAGTTCGTTCTAGTACAATCGAATTATATGTCGAGCACAGTCGAAACATAGGTTGAGTACAGTCGAAACATAAGTCGAGAACAGTCAAAACCAAGGTGGAGTACAATCGAAACATGGGTCCTGCAAAATCGAAACATAGGTCGAGCACAGTCGAAACAAATGTCGAGCACAGTCGAAACGAAGGTCGAGTACATTCGAAGCATAAGTCGAGCACATTCGAAATGAAGTTCGAGTACAACCGGAACATATGTCGAGCACGGTCGACACATATGCCGAGCACAGTCGAAATGTAAACGATTTTGGTAGAGTAATCAAAAACACGCGCCGAGCACAGTCGAAAATTAGGCTGAGAACAGTCGAAACATAGGTCGGGCATGGTCAAAAAATAGGTCGAGGGCAGTCGAAACATAAGTCGAGCACAGTCAAAACATAGGTCGATCACAGTTGAAACATAGGTCGAGCACAGTTGAAACATAAGTCCTGCACAGTCGAAAAAACGGTCGAGTACAGTCCAAAAATAGTTCAAGTACATTCGAAACAGGTCGAGCACAGTCGAAACATAAGTCGAGCCTAATGGAAGCATAGCTTGAGTAGACTCAAAAACAAATCGAGCGCTGTCGAAACATAGGTCGAGCACAAGCAAAACATTGGGCGAACAGTCAAGAAACGGACCAAGAAATGCACTTTTTGTCGGATTTTTGTTGACACAACTGAAAAACAGATGCAATTTTAATGTGTAGTTAGCTAAGCCGGCATAATTGCTCGCCATATAGAGGAATGCCACAGGATGGCCTACACGTGGTTCCAAAATTATGAGCTAAATTTTTGGGGCTACGACAATTTCGTCACAACAAAAACAGAAAGCTGAAAGAAATCAAATGAAACATTCAGTCAATTTTAAAATATCAGTCGTCATTGTATTGTATCAGTTATTAAAGGATAAACATCATGACTCACCTTGGAGCTAAAGTTTTCAAATGGCGGTTACTTTTACTTATTGATATCCTTGAGCCACGTTCAATCGGTACCTAAGGTAATGAAATCCACGAGCAATACGCATAGCCTTCCTGTTTTTAGCTATTGACTATGGCCTTAATTACCCGTTTTTGCTTGCCGTTTTTGCTTGTTCAATGACTGGTACATGGCGTTCTTAGGCTGCTTCTGGATCTACACTACAAAAAAACTATTAAACAATTCCCATCTGGCCCCGCTCTGGATTGAAGTTTATATTGGATGATCAATGGGAACCACTGCTGGGCTTAATTCAAACCCGCATGCCAATTTTTTAAAGCGTTTTACAAAAAAAAACTTTATGTCGGCTTTTCATTCAGACTACTGAAATGAAAAAAAATAATCAAATTTCAACTGTATAGATTCAAATTCGATATTTAAAATTGTCGAGAAAGTCGAGAAAGTCGAACACTTTTTTTTCAAAGTCGAAAAAGTCGAAACCAAGTCGAACACAAAGTCTGAACTGAAACGAACAAAGTCAAACACTTTTTTTGTTGGGTCGAAAAAGTCGAGACATACCAAAATTTGGTCGAGACGGTCGAAACATAAATCGGGCACCTTGACTCGGGTAATTGACAATGGTTATATTTAAGAGTGACTGGTCCCGATAAGTTGGCGGTCGGTCTGCTGATAAATTTGACAAACTTCCTTTAAAAGTTTAGTGAGCTGCGTTGTAATTGGTTAATTGGTCGTTTTATAGTGTAATGTATAAAGTTGTAAAATTTAAAGGCTCGAAGGATAAGAATTCATAGAACAAATTTTGTTCTGATTGAACCCCCACGAATCCACAAACTTTTTAAAAGTCTGCTAGAATTATAAAAAGTATATCAATACTTATTGCTTCCGATCACTATGAATGCAAAAAAAATATTCTGCTTAGTATGGACTGGAAGTAATCAGTAAGTTGAAATGGAAAATGATAATCTAGCGCGACGTTTTGCATATATAATGAGAATATGGTGAATGTTTCGTTCAATGCAAATGTGCAACCCTTTGTTTGAGGTATTATTAGTCGCGTTTCAAAGCTGGTAGATAAAACTATGGATCATCTTTTGATATGCCTTATTAGAACAAAGTCAACGCGCTAGACATGGCTTACTTGTACTGCTGAACTTCATTATCATATACCAGCCAGCAACAAAGGGTGTTCAACAAAACAGATACAAGAATGCTTGAATCAGGGCAAAGCCTTGAATGCTCCCATTGCCGTTCAGAGTCATGAAAAAGAGTTTTATCAAAAATTGATAAGCAATCGAGCAAAAAAAATTTTTTTTCTCATTTTTGATTCACATTTACATTACGAGGACAAACTATGCGCTGGATAGGCGCACAATTTTGTGTCAGGGGGTTCCTGGATTCCGGAGACAAATCTTTAAACATGTTCCAAAATGTAAGAAGATTCCACTTACAAACGTTTCGTGGATTCCGCGTACAAATACTTGTAACGTAAATCTTGTCGGCACATTTGTTTTTATTGCGGACTCCGCAACAAGCAAATATAGCTAGTTGTTCTGGATTCCGCAGCTGTAAGTCAATTTGCTGATTCCACTTACAATTTGAGGATTCCACTTACAACTTGCAAATTCCGCTTACAGTTGCGGAATCCGCAAATTTGGTTATTTTTGGAGCAAATTTGAGCGGTAAAATCTTATAGGTATTTGCTTGTGGAATCCAAAACAGCAATGAACATTAAAGAAAAGTAGCAATGTTGCGGATTCCGCATCAAACCTGACCTGTTTTGGCCTGTTTACAATGCACAGAATGCACAGTTTGGCCTCGTAATGTAGATTATTTTGTTGGATTAATTAACTTGCTGGCTACTCAACCTCATGCTATGTATAGCACAAGACTGCTCGTATCAGAGCAAAGCCCTGAATGTTCCGACTGCCCATTAACTGGTCTCGAATTGTTTCTGGTTAAATAAATATTGACAAACTAAGATATTTAGTATTATATTTTGAGTCGTTAGTGGAGTAAACATTCAACGCCTAATTCGAAGGTCGGAACAATTATCACGACCAATTATGAACTTTTGAACTTTTTTATTCCTAAAATTGAATTTTCTAAGTTTTCATTGCTAAAACTAAGATTAGGAAGGCTATTATAAGCCTGCAAGCTCACCTATTAGCTCAAAATCAGACCAAAAACAAAAAATTTGAAATCGGTTTTTCTCGCCAGAGAAGTTTTTAGAATTTTGACTGAAAAGGCTCTGTTATGATATATCACTTGACCCATTCTGATGATGATTTGTGATACATGATTCTTAAAAACTTAAAAAAACTTCAAACTTAAAAAAAAACTCGAATACAAAGTTTCTTCACATTTTTCAAATAGTTGGAACAATAAATTGTTATATCCCAATTCGAATAAAACACAAGGGTTGGCTTGAAAGCACAATTTCGGGACCTTTTGATCTGCCAAAATTACTGTTAAGCCCCTCCCTCCAACCAAACAACCCATACCACTTTATATAAGCTTCAATTTAATGCTGCATGCAATAAAGTTGCTAGGTTGTTCATGCAGACGAAATACGTTCGTTTTTAGGTTATTATGATATTCAGTTCAGACTCAAACTTCATCTAAATGTCAAGGCAAAAAAGACCAATATGCAAATTTGAGAGCAGCGTGTTAGTTAGTGTAAAAAAAATAAAGTTAGTGTCATATTTCAATTTTAATGGGTGTACAATGCTGATTTAAATTATCCGGACAAAATGAATAAGACTTGAAATTTAAAACGCGTTTTTTTCTTATTGAACTGACTTTAGACAAACAGTTAAGAACTTTTTGAGTTTCAATATGATGCGTTTTATACTGCAAACCTCGGACCCAAAAAATACCCCAAAATTTGATTATTTTAGTTTAAAAAACGCTAAAACTACCGGTTCACTTACTAATAAAAACAATTTTTAAATGAGCTTTTTTGCAGCCCAAAAATTTTTAAGGAGGTAAGAAATTTTGCGCAAAACGTTTACAAACATTTTTCTGAACAAACGTTGGTATTTTATATAATTAAATAGCATTTCTGGCTGTCAAATGAAAAATAATTTTCAACTCTGTTAGACTACAAAAGAGGCTTGAAATGCCAACTTTGTATGATTCTTTGAATGTTTCATGCAAATTTTGCAATCTCTTAACTTTCTTGCTGGAATCTAAAATATAATAAAATTCCTTTCTATACTGCAGCTCGGTTTAAAAAATCTATCAAGATTCTTGCACGATTCCGCATTATTCTGACAGGCAGTTTAAAATTCAAATTTTGCTATTTTCTGAGCAGTTTCTTGAAATATTTTTTGTTTTCTTGTCATACATGTTGGAATATGAAATCTTTCTAAATTTTCATTAATTGAGTATTTCATTAATAAAAATTTTGATGTAGATTTTCACAGGTTTTTAAAAAAAGCTACACAAAAAAACATCTCAAGTTCTATCTTTTGATATATTTTACCCATAATTGATTAAAATTATAATAATTAGCTGTGAAAAAATTGATAACGGCCACAAACAGTTATTTTCAAACTTCATCTCGAAAGCCATCTATCTACACAACTGAAGATTTTGAGTACATTTGTGATACATTTTTCCTATATACCACGTGTGGAGAGAATCATATTTCAGCGGACTTCAATGGGAAGGTTTGCTAAGCTTGCTATACGCTAGCATAAACTATAAAAAACCCACTGAAGATGCTGAAAATAGCAGGAAGAAAAAAGAAATAAAGAATAAGACAGTTGCGGGAGGCATTAAGACTTCTGGCGCTGTAAACATGACCAACAATAGCAATTCAAAATTTGAATTAACAATGTGAAAAAATGACAATTAGCATAGCACTAAAGCACAATTATCGAATTTATTATCCTCCTTTATAATTTCCATTTTATGAAAATTAATATTTACCCTCCTTTTACAATACATTAATTTAAACTTATTGTTGAATAATTTGCACCCGGCGTTAAAAATAGTTTGTCTCTATGGCATTATACATCGGTGCTGCAAAGAACAGTTGATACGATCTGATATTTTAGCAAAAAAATGTCCGTTTCGATCGAAATATTATCTGAAAATTATACATTAGACCTTTCAGTCCCGGACGTCAAGTGGAATTTTTTGGGCATAGCAACAAATATATTCGATATAGTCGGCCTCTGTTTCATGTTACTTGGGTTTCTGCTTAATTACTTCTGCTACATTACTGGAAATCATCTGCCCGAGTCATCGAGTGCCACTTTGATGAAGTATGTCGCAGTGTGGGACTCAATTTCCCTCTTCAAAATCGGAGTGCTTGGTAGCGGAATGACCGCAATGGGACTGCAGTGGGAATTATACTCGGTAAGTTCGAGAAGCAACTTAATTAAAAAAGCGACTTAGTGAGCACAGAAAGTTACTACCACAGCTACAATTATCATGGAACAAATTTTGAGAAAATAAAAATGCAAAAACAATTAGTTATTTTTAAAACAAAAAACAACATTATTGTATTTTTTTAATTTGTTCGAAAATGTAATTTAGTAGCCAAAACAATTTAGTAGGAAAACAAATTTCTTGAAACCAAATTTTTTCGAAAGCGAGAACATTTATTCGCAGAATCAATGGCTGCAGACTAAATCTTGTTCAAAAGGAATTCAATATGATATATCTTTCGCCCTTTTTTGGCTACTGAATTTGCTTAAATAAAAACGCGACTGCTGACGGCTTTCCGCAACATAGCTTGATCGATAAGCAGTACTATAAAAAATACTTGACCAAAAAATAGTCAGAATTCCGTCCACTTTGAAGTACACCAAAGAGTGGATTTAGGGTTTCTTAAGGAGTGAAGGTGGTGGGGTGGCAGATTTTTGATTTTTACAAACCTTTTGGAATTTTGTCGTCATTTTTTTTGGGCCGGCCCATTTAGCTTTCAGGCAACTTCAGGCAGCAAAAAAACAAACCTGTCCTGAAATATTCCCAAAAGAGGGATACTTTAGGTGGTCAGGGTGCCAAATCCCTGAGGGGAAAGGGGCGTCAAACTCGTCTCGTTTTTTTTCCGACTAAAGAAAGTGGGGAAAAACTTTGTCTTCGGATGTGTTGTTTTTTTTTCACTAGTTTTCTTCACAAAAAAGCACTCTCAAAAATAAATCTCAGAATGGGGCGAGTGAGTATGATACTAAAATTTTTTGAAGCGACATTCAAATGTGAATAAAAACTTCCAGTTTGTAAATGAGTTTTAAATGAGTTTTTTGTACCATTAAGAAAACCTAAGAATTTGCGTTTAAATACTGAATCAGGGTTGATCAGCACTAAAATGACACTCAACAGTGCTTGATTTATTGATGCCAATATTTGCATTTACACTGATTCAGCATCGAGTTTCACCATGAGTCCAATAGAGGCGTTTTTGATATTTAGCCCGAGTTTAAGTTGTCTGCAACACTGTTGGGAACGGGTCCTTGCAAAACTCAGCTTTTTACATGTTCTTTGATTTTATATCTAAATATAGGCATACCCGCTACACAGACAAAGACAGATTACAAAACGTTCTTTTTAGATACCACAAAGAGCGTTTGTGGCACTGAGAGTTCTTCTCGTGTTAAATTTCGTCCAAAGCTGCTTTTTTGTTCCATCTTTTCGAAAAGTGTTGTTGTTTTGAGCTCGGACTCAAAAAAAAATATTTCACCCGTGAATACTTTTTTTTAAGAGCTATGTGCGTTTAAAAAAAGCCATATTGGCTATTAGAGACAATTAATGCGCGATGTATTGTTCCACATTGTCTGTTCCACATTGACTTGAGGCATGCACATTGACTTGTTCCACATTGACTTGAGGCATGCTATTTGATCTGATTGATGCTTTTCTATATGCAAAAAATATCTTTTTTTAACACTGACTAGCGTGTTACAGGGCGGGTCAACAAAAAATGGTGATTTTCAAAAAAAAAGGTGAATTCAAAAAAACGCTATTTGTTTTTTGATTTTACTTTTTTTAAATGTCAACCATTTTCTAGAAGCGAGCACTACTCCATAGACCTTAAAATGCACCTTAAGGGCATCGCCCTTATGCGAGCAGTGTTGTTTGCTGTTGAGACTCAGTTTTCAATATGCTCTTAGTGTGGGTGCGGTGCGTCCAATGCATGCCCAATTTTTTTTGCATTCATTGTTTCAGACTTCGACAGGTTTTATGACAAAAACACGATGACAGTTTTTATGACAATTTTTTATGCCGGTAAGAACAGAAACAACTGTGGGAGTGGGACCAAGTGGGCTTAGCAAACTTAATTTAAATTAAGCGCTGGGGTGGAGGATACTATTTTTTTTGGGAGGGGGGGGGGGGGGAGAGGATGTCAACCTGATCTCAACTGTGCATTTTAGGAGGTGCTGTGCAAACTTTATGGGTACTTTCGCATGGTCTGCTCGTTTGCTGCAGCTTACCACGTCTTGCTACTGGCACTGGACCGCGTGATATTGCTGAAAGCCCCTGCTTGGCATCACAACAATGCGTCTGGTCGAAACATATTGCTTGCAAGCTGTATAGTTACTGCATTTGGCTTAATAATCAGTACTTCGGCGCTGTTGGTATTTTCCAAGCAGAATGGCGAATGCGCTTTCACCCAACTAGATGATCAAATTATTCTGAGCCACGTTTTAAGATCCTTCAACTTGCTGTTCATATTGCTGGGACCATGCTTGACTCTGATCATCTGCAACATTCTTTTTGTTCGAGAACTGAGATCACGTGACGCTAAGAAACAGAAAACTCGGGGTGCGTACAGTAAACCGATGTGTCAGTAAATGACCAGATCAGTGAACCGATTTACGTTATAACAAAATCGACTGCTGGTACATCAGGGCAAAGCCCTGAATGTTCCGACTGTCCCTTAATTCATATCGAATAGTTTTTGGAAAAAAAAAATTGAAAACGGGGCCTAGGAAATTAGACGATAAGAAAATTAGACGGATGCTAGAAAAACGGAATAAGACGATTTTTCTACAGGTCTGGCTTTTTTGACGAAAAAACTATGAAAAGGAAAGGGCCAACAAAATTTCTTCTTAAGAGTCAAAATTCAAAAATACAAAAAGAACATAAGTGACAATACCTATTAGAACAGTTACTTTAAATGAACATAAAATGTCAAAACCAAATATTACAGGAGAGTTTTGAATTGAATAAATTATGCATGATTGACATGTGAAATTTTTGGACACCGAAATTTTAATGTCTGCAAATAATTTTATTTTTCTCACGCAAGTTGTCTTCAAACAATTTTAATCTATCTACTTTCGTCTATTTTCTCACAATTGCAGTTATGCAAAATCGTCCAATTTCCTTTTAAGTGCCTCCGTCTAACTTGCTTATCGTCTAATTTCTCAACCCCCATTGAATACCGATACATTTTGGACAATATTAAAGTGTAAAATTTTGAGTCGTACGAAAATAATACGACCAATTAGCTAGCCTCAACTCAATTTGGAATGATTATGTTGTGCGGGATCATTCGCCACGCATAAATAATTCGCGTAACGTTCTCAGAACTATGAATAAACTCTTCAAAGCTTGCATAATTTAGTCCAGAACATGGAAAATTTGGCAATTTCCAAGCCCCCAGAACTTTACAAAAAAATAATCGGAGAAGAAAGTACTTTTTACTCAGGAAGTCGATATCTTCAATGGGCTAGAAATTTTTTTTTGTTGATAATCATTATTTCGATCGGTGGAAATTGACCGAATAAAAAAAACCACACCGAGCATAAATATTCCGTTTTTTTTCGAAAGTCGGAACAATTACATCAATTGCAGATTAAGGATTTATAGAAAAAATATTTCCTGAGCAAGAACATTAATTTTAAACTACGGGGCGCATGGGAAGACATATTTTATTCCATTTTTTAATTCAATTTTTGTTTTGAGAAAAAGATTTGTCATTTGTAAAAAATCTCAATTTTTAGCTAATGGGATTACGTAATTGAATCATGAGTTTTTGGTTTACTGATCTCGTCCGCCCGTTTTCGGTTTACTGATACATCGATTTTACTGACCTACCACCGAAAAATAACATTGCAGCAACAGATACATGCAGAAACACTGCCACAGCTAGCTCACAAAACCAGCAGCGTCTATTTCAAAAAAGGAAAAATCTTCAAGATTACATCAAAATGATCATGCTCATGACTAGCGCCTATCTAGTTTGCACTATTTGTATCATTATCATGGTTTTTCTTATCGCGAACACACCCATGAACTCAGCATTATGGCTCCTTTTAAAATCAATTTTGAGCAGTTTTTCAATTCTGAATGTTTCGGCTAACTTCTTTTTCTATCTTTTGAGTGGCAACGCATACCGATCTTCGTTTGTGCGAGCGGTCTCTTCAAGAGTTCGCAAGACCAGAGAGCCGGAACCAGAATCAGCAGTGACCAGAAATGTGTCAACTGTAGCAGCAGCGACTACTCCCTTCTAAGCATCTGGAATGGTCACCAATTTCGATGAATGGTTAAAACTCAAATTAGATGAATCTTAATAAGCACAAATAAGTATTACTAGTTGTAATTTGTTAGGCTGCTAAAATTTGTTTTTCTTTATTCAGTTTTGAATTTTCAGATAACCTGAAGCATTTAGTCCTAATCATTTTGCAAGCGGAAAATGTTGTTCACGTGAAAAAAAAAACACGTTTAGAAAAAACACGTTTTCATTTCAGTTTTAAAGTTGATCTAGTTTAGAAATTTCCAGTCGAAAGAAAAATACATCTTTTTTTTACGCGTCAGGACATTTTTTTAAAAGTAAAGTTATCCGAACACACCAAAGATTTGTAATAGGAATAGGTAAAAGTAAAACCAAATATTAAAAATAACTTTGAAAATTTTCATTTTTCCAACTGCACAAAAATAATTTCGTGAAAAGTTATAACGATTCTATTGGTAAAGATTCCATCAATCGGTCCGTCCATCAAGAAAATAGCCCCAATCTAGCCTGTTCTCAGGCAACTTAAAGCGAGAATAAAAAACCGCTATTTACGGATTTACCATTTGGTAGAATTAGACTGATGGTTCACTAGGAAAAAAAAACGTACCAAAAATTTTTGTCGAAAAGTATTGAAAGACGCATTTTCAGACTTTTCGATCATTTTTTGGACCCATTATGTAGACAATGACGTATCCAATTTTGAGAGTTCGAGAGCAATCATGTAAACCGAGCCGACTCCAGTAACTTAATAGAAGCGATGACCGACGAACAGTAATCAGCTGGAGTAATACCGTAAGACCAAACCAGTCGTAATGCAATGGCTACCAGATAGCCACTTGATGTATTGTGCTCAAGTTTTTTACAAAAAGACTTTGCGTGTGTTTGAAAAATGCCAATTTGAGACAATGAATGTGCGGAATGTTTCGTGCTTATGAAACGAAGCTTGCTAATTGTTCTATTTATTGCGTTAACGCCTGCTAAAAAAATCATTTTTTACTTTAAAACAGCAAATGAGAGGTTCTGTGACTTTTTTTTCTTAGAATCATGTGGGTTTGAAAACAGCCAGTCGGGCGAATTTGGGATAAACAACGCTCAATATATTGCGTTCTTTTAACTCGTTTAAGCGATTAATTGAATCATTCCAAGTTTCAAAGAAATTGACGGAATATTTGCGCTCGGGATGGTTCTTTCTTCGAGCCAAATTTTGACTTTTTAACAGACAACTTATAGCAATTTTTTTAAAATATCAATTACAAAGTATTTTTGTCTTGATCCCAAACTTAAAACATTATATCACCTGCGATTATTTTTCGTAAAGTTATGGGTGTTTAAAATTGCCAATTTGGGATATATAACGCGCGTTATTTTTCGTGCTGATAAAATGCCTGATATAACATATTGTTCCGAATCGAACTGAAGCATCCTATTTTACTGTCACAAAATGATCTATTAGACTTTTAAACCCCAACCTTCAAGAAACTTTAAAAAGCATATACGACGCGAGGCATAAAATCTACGCAACATGAATTGACTTAGCTCATGAAAATTAGTTCATATAAAAATTGACTTATTTCAAACCAAAGTCGGTAAACTTGTAACAGACGGGCTTAAATTCAACTATAGTAAAAGTATTCATATAAGAAAAAAATTCATACATTGTGCTATAAACTTTTGAAAACACAGCATTACTACAGACACAAAAAGCATTAGAAAGTCGATCTGTAAATTTAAAGTATATCATCTCAATTACCTTTTTTCGATTTTGTTTAATTATCTTTTTTCGACCCCCTGCCAACCCAAAGGGATTCGACCCCCTGCGAACCCAAAGGGTCCCCCTTTGGAACTTTTTAAAAAATCCATTTTTGGCCGACCGACCCTAAAATTTTTCTAAAGGCGCCTTTTGCGCCAATATATCCTAACTTTGAGGGGGAGTGCGCGCCAAAAAAACGCATTTTTTTTTGTCAAAATTTTCCAAAAAATGCCCAAAAACGGCTTTTTTGACCTGTTTTTTCAAAAATTTGCCTGCCGCGCAAAAAATTTGGCCAAAACAGGGTCCTTTTACTGCTTTAAGAGCTCGGAAAATCAATTTGGTCGACCTAAAAATGTTTTGAAAATCCGCCCCACCCCCCTCGAGAAAATCCTAGATCCGCCCCTGTTTTAAAGTATCATAAACTGAAATTGATGCTAAAAAAACTTCCATTCTTTAGAAATTAAGCAGAAAAAAAGTAAGCAGAAGAGCGATAGGCCGACGCTTCAAATTTTTACAGTAAAAAGTTTTAATTTTACATTGTGGGAAAAAAATAGCAACCTACAACAACACTTCATACTCGTACAACTTCATACTCGTAAAACAACACTTCATACCCATACTCGAACGACTTTGTGATAGAATTGAGCGTATTTGCCGTTCAGACTTACAAAGAAAAAGCGGAATATATATGCTTGGGATGGTTTTTAATCAAGACCTTTTCCATGAAGAAAGTTTAGATATGGGTTTGAACCTGGAATAACCGTGTTCCCAAGTGGGTGTACTTCGCGCTTTGTGCGCTTCTTAAACGCTCTTTGAGCCTACTTAAACTGCTCGTTTCAAATTTGAAAGATTTTATCTAAGATGCTGAAAGTGCAACACGAATAATTGGATATGAACATTCATGTCTTTGTCCTGACAAAAAAGCAGAATTTTTACCTTTAATGTATCCTTTTTCGGATTCTAGATGGTATTTTACTAACTGAGACGTCTTCCTTCGCAACAAATTCCAGCATCAAGTAAAAATTACGCAATAATACTTAATTATTAACAAGCAGTTATTCAATATATAACAGAATTAACTCAATGAACTCACAGCCTCAAAAGTCAATAAAAACATCCCAAATGAACAATAACTTGTGTTGTTTACTATAATTTTTATATCAGACTTCAGATGAGCCAAAAACCATATCAGTGATGAGATTTTAGGATATCAACATAAAATTAAATCATCACAAGATGATTTTTAACCATGCCTTTTCCCGAACCTAATTGAAAAGTAAATTTAGGATGTATACATCAAGACAAAAATTTATACTCCAACACCAGCGTAATAATTTCACTTCTTTTCCCAGTTTTCTTTGTCGATCCATTGAAATTCGTTATTCTTCCATTTCATGTAAATATTCGCAACTTGCAGGAGCCCATCTATAAAAGCAGTTCATTTTCCATCGTTTGTTTTTCACTTTTGCTCCGAGTCGCTGTCAGCAGATGCTGAGAAGGCAGGAAACTTCTGGAGCACATCTTGCCAAGTGCAGTTCTGCATGGACAGGTCACTGACCACCTGGGCCACCTCTTCTACGTTAATGCGCACCTGAAATAAAAGCAAATACTGAAGCCCAACAGGGACACCAGTGCACTGCTTCTCTAATGAACGCGGTAGTGCCGTGAATAATGAATAACTCAATTTAATGGCTATAACACTCGATTTTTTAGCGAAATGTAATATATACATTGATATGTCTCATATACAGCGAGATGTCTTTGTAATATATACATTGGTTCGCTTCCGCCCATAATCAAATTTTCAACCCATAATCAGTAACAATTTGATTTACCTCGTCCAATGTTAGTGATGCTTTGGACCCTAACTTATTATAAAACTCTCAACAAATTTGGATTTGTGCATTAAGTTTTAAAACCGAGGGGGGGGGGGGGGGTTGAGCAAGCGAACTTAATTGTCCTACCTGCTTTGTTGAGTCTCGTTCTCTTAATGTGACCGAATGCGGCTTCACTCCGAAAGTGTCCATGTCTAGCGTGATGCCAAACGGAATACCTATCTCATCCGTCCTTGCGTACTTCCTCCCGATGCCAGTCTTGCCTGAGTCGAATTTAAAGCTAACATTCAGCCGTCTCAAACTAGTGAAAATTTGATCCAGGAACGGGTCAAACTCTGGCTTAGCGCTTATGCAAATTATGGAACACTTGTAAGGCGCGACAGAAGCCGGCAGAGAAAGATATCGTTTCTGGTCGTCTTCGGGTCTGATTTTGAAGACATGCTCCAAAACGGCGTACATTATTCTTCCAATTCCAAATGAGGGTTCAATGACCGAAGGCGTGAACTCGTCGATGTGGAAAGTCTTCATCTTTTTCTCAATCGTGATCAAGTCTTTCGTCAGTTGGTATGTTTGATCAGTGGCCGCTATTTTCAACTCGTAAACTCCGTTCTGTTCCAGACTCTGTTCTATTTCCTTTATGTCACAGTCTGAGAGAGCCTCCAGATATGTGAAGATGGCCTTAGCCTCTCCTTTGAACTGCTTCCCCAGAGCACCCTTGTTTGGTACAACCTATACACAAATTGACCTGAGTGTTTGAACCCTCTCCAAGAGCGCTACCTACCAACTTTGTCACGCTATTGCACTTCAGTCGTTCTACTGTACACTTATGAAAAGGCTATTTGAATATAAGCTCACGACCTCAAATCCTTTTACAAAAACTATCCGTCTGAACCATTTTGGATATCATTTGCTACTGCCTGGATCCAGCATAACACCTGGATTATAATCTCATATCGAATGAACACATAGTATTACCATGATTCCGAACACAAACTGGATAAGTTCTGGCCTTACCTCGACTATCTGTTTCTGAACTGGTGCCGGGAGGTCTTTCTCAGCCACCATTTTGATTCCAGTGCCTTTGGAGTGTTGGGTGAGGTCATAGCAGGACCTGTCTGCACAGCCCACACATTCTATCCACCCGTACGTCGTGTTCATTTCTGCATCCCAGCAGTCACATGCGTAGTGTGCCATCTCGTTGTCCATGTGCTGCCTAGAACACATTTGCTACTGTTCACCATTAACACACTTTTTAATCGGGAAGTTTTTGATTTTGGGTGAAAAAAATTTTTTTGTGGGGGGGGGGGGGGGGGGGGGCAAAAAACAAGAAACAAAATTAACTACCTAAGACCTGCCTTATGAAGAAAAACTTCTGTAGGAAAAGCCGTTACCGTTTCACTGTATCTCAAAAAAAATTATGATTCAAGGATAAAATTGCACACAAAATGTCTAACAAACCGCAACAGTAAACATTAACACAGAGGCGAAGCTGAGCTTCTCACCACTTGCGATACAAAATGAATGACTATGGTCAAAATCAAATGAAAAGAAAAATCAACAAAAAACCTCGAAAAAATATCGTTTTGTCAAAAAAAAACATTTAAATTGCAAAAAAAGTCCACCATATTCGGAACAAATATACCTGCACTATAAGAAACTTTACAAGGATCTTTTGGAATGATAGAGAGAGCCGACAAAATAAATAGACAATTTTCAGTTTGCAGAAAAAACTAATACCGACAGGAATTGAACTCCCGGCTTTTGTCGTCTGAAGCATTGGTGTTTCAGAAAGCTGCAGGAAAGCTGAATCTTCAAAAAAAAATTGGGATATGGGAACTAAACCGACAAAAATAAACACTAGCACAAAAACTCTAGTGAGTTCATAGCCGGATTCAAACCAAAGTCCTAGCCGTCTCAAGCAGGTGCGTTACCTGTACGCCAGATGGTTAATCGAATGTATAACATCTTTGACGACAAAACATTGAAATCAAAATTGCCAAACAAAACTTTCCAGAAATTAAAACAAAATTGAAAAAATTTAGACATCTAGAACAGATTTGAAATGAAACAACTAAAAAACAGATTTGAAATGAAACAACTAGAACAGATTTGAAATGAAACAACTAAAAAAATTTCCTAGACGAAATCAAAAAAAAATTTCAGCTGTCGACCCAGTACCTCGTTAACTCTAAACACAATAACTCTGGACCAAAAACTAGAGCACTTGAATGTGCAACTTGGGTGAAACTAGAGATCTTCCAAAACTTGAGATCCTGTGAACAACACTATTTACGGGAAGAAAGTCCAGCACCCGCCTGCAATACCCTTGCTTATCGCAAGGGTAAAGAGCACAAAATAAATGCAATGAACAGGAGCAAAAGCATCGCCGCAAAGAGGTGAACGGAACAACCTGAATCTGATCTTGGAGGGATCAGCTCCGATCTTCACTAGAAACAGATAGATTCTGCCGATGAAGTATCCCAACACATTGTTCGCTATCATCCCACTCTCCACTGCGTCTCCCAGTTTAACTGGCACTGCGCTACCACCAGACATCTGCTGACCCTTTGAGAATAGAGTCAGCTCCAGGTCTTTCACCTTTTCAAACTTCGGCGTAGTTTTCTCATTGGGGTCGATAAAGTGCTCGATTTCCGCCATGGTGAACTCCCTCACACGCAACAGTCCAGCTCTGGGCGAGATTTCATTTCTAAACGAACTTCCAATTTGTGCAGCTGCGAAAGGAAGTTTTCCATTGTTGAAATCGAGAAGTTTCTTGAAATTGACAAATATTCCCTGCGCCGTTTCTGGTCGCAAGAATCCGGGTGTGTTAGCTGCACTTGGCCCAATTGGAGTGGCGAACATTAAGTTGAATGGCACTGGGTCGGAGACTGCATTTCCGTTTCTAGGGTTCTTCACTTGGTACTTTTTGAACAGTTCTGTCAGCTCCTGTCAAAGACATTGTCAACAATATCGACTGCTCAGTCAGGAAAAAATCATCTCGTTTACACACTCCAACCCATTATGAAAACCGAACTTGAATCCCATGTTCAGCAAAATATAGGACTGTATTTATAGAAAAAATAATAGCCATCTCATGTATAAATTCGCCTAATTTCGTTAGTGTTACAGTAATAGTTGTTTTCCGCTTCAGACTGTAACACCTCAATCATTTGAATTTTAAGTTCAGGATCCAGTTAAATACAAAGGGGAACAAGGCGGGATTCGAACCTGTTGTCCATAGTTGTCCATTTGTGTGATGACAGACTGGTACTCTTTGTACTTGTCGAAGTGGCAGTCGTCTGCCTCACAGAGACTGGTCAAGTGTGCTTTCAGCAGATGGTCTGCCCTCAGACATTCGCCCGTGTTCACATCTTTGGCCATGAAGTCCGCGAATCTGTCCACGTGACCACTGTTTTTCAGCACTGGCTCAGGAGTCAGCATTGATGTTTCCACCTGCAGAAGACCCGTTAGACATCAATTTGAAGATCACAATCAGGCTAGCTAACACGTTTTGAAAGTTTAAACCTTATCGGCATAGTGCTGATTATAATTCTCCGGACAAAACGAATATAAATTTACAATTGAAACGCGTTTTTCTGAGACTGGTTTGATTTGACACAAAAAATGAATAAGACAAAACTGGCTGAGAATTTCAGCCGAATTACTACGGTTCAATTTATTTAGCGCAATTGGGGTCCAAAGTTTTGGAAAATTTTAGTCAATCAAAAGTTACGCTGAAATGCATGGGTTCAATTGCTGACAAAAATATATCAAAGTGAGCCTCTTATGTAGACCGACAAAGTCTAACAAGGGTATAATCGTCTCAGTTTTGTATAACTTAATTTATTTTTGTTTGATAGCCGGAAAATTTCAATTTTACTATATAAAATACCAATTGTTTATTCTAAAACAATTTTGAAAGTTTTCTAAGAAAAACTTTCGAAACGTTATCCTTCTGAAATTTTGTTGGGCTCTATAAGAGGCTCACTTTGATATAAGTTTGTCGGCAATTGAACCCATCATTTTGAAGTAATTTTTGATTGACTAAAAAATGCCAAAAACTATCGTTTTTGGGTTTAAACTTTCGACACTAATTTCGCATTATTAACTGCACCAGAATACCGCACCAGCTGAAATTCTAAGCAAGTTTTGTCTGTATCAATTTTTGTCTAAGTCAACACAATTTGAGAAAAACGCGCTATAAACTTATAGTTGTATTCGTTTAGTCCGGATAATTTAAATCAGCGCTGTACCTTTTCATAAAATTTTTCATTTGTTTCAATTTATTTCAGCCGAATGAGCGATATTTGCAATATCAGATGCGTGGATTATCCTCTTATGCGGACAAAGGGAGCAGCTTTAGTCTTACCTCTAACATGCTTTCCTCCAGAATGAAATGAGACTTCCACTCATTCAGAATATTCGACTTAATTGCACAGCCTACTGGTCCAAAATCATACAATCCAGCGACACCTCCGTAAATACTAAATGCTTGACTGTAAATAAATCTGCGCTTAACCACATCTTCCAGTTTTTTCCGGTCTATATCCCAGTTGCCCTTATTCGCCTCAAATTTGGCATCTTCCAATGCTTTTTTGCGAAGTTTCAGCTCTGTTGTCGCTTTCTTAACTTCGTCCACTGATGCATTTTGTTCCTTCAGACTCCTCAAAATATCTCCTTGCTCACTTACACTCAACCTCAGTTTGTCCAAGTCTAGAGAGTTTGGATCACTAGTAGATGGTGTTGCTGTATTGGGAGGAGCGGACATGATTCTGACTTTGTTTTTGTTTCGGATGAAGGTCTTCTTGCACACTGACTCTGCTGAAGTTATTCTGACCAATCTCGCTGTATTCAACAACCAACGCATACACAATTTAGTAGCAAAACACTATGCAATCTGAAAAAATCACGTTCAATGGTTTAATGTTTTAAAAATCGAAATTTTACGCCGCATTACTCCTGATACAAAATGCAACACATTATATTTTTGTCTTTCAAACTACGCAAAATGAAAGTGCTAAGCCAAAATAACATAAACCTAGGCCGTTTTTACAAAAAAAGGATATTAAACAAAATCAGAGTAGTGAATTTAGAGTTCAATTATAGCTGAAACAGTTTCAATCAGAAGGAAACTGATGTTTGCAGAAAAAAGATTCGGTACTTTCTTTTTTTTTTTCAATTTCTACTCACTAGAAAAAAAAAACAAGTTCCGGCTGGTGGCCCAACCTTAGAACTTATGATCCGAAGGTGTGTGCTCTACCCGTAGACCAAGTGAGAAAGTTCTGATAAATATTGAGGTTCCATAATAAAGCAAGGTAATTTTTTAAACAGATTTGTAAGAAAAGATGTTTACTGGAAAAAGTCTAGCTCCCGCTTACAAGTACACTTGCTCTCGCAAGCAAAAATATAATGAACAAATTAGTCCAATAGTCTCTTACGAGCTCCTATAACTTTCAAACAAATAGCCGCAGTGGAAAAGTTTTGAGTTAGCGCTTTGGCCATCAATATCTTTCGGATGGTAGTAATTCTGACTAAAAATACAATTACGGAATATATCAAGTTTTAATTGTCCGAAATTGTCTATTTTCATACTCTCAAAAAAATATCTTATTAATTTTAAGTTCAAAAAAAATTCTGCCAAAAACGGCTAGTTCAAAAGTCGTCGAAAATTGTCTGGTGAAAAAAGAACCACCCGAACACAAATATTCCGTCAATTTTTTTTAGAAGGGTTCACTTAGCTCATGCAATCAATATACACATTACGAACACAGAGGGGTTTACAGGACACTTCTCATCGATTTCAAATTTCGAACTGAAATTTGAGATCTACCGTGAACCAATCGTTTGATCTTTTGACCGAGAGTCATTTGCATTGAAATTATGCCAAGTAATCTTAAAGAGTGTTTTTGGTAAGATATTTCAAAAGATCGGTCACATTCAAAGGCGCTAAGTTTTACTCTTGGAACTGAAACTAACTTCACACGCGTTTTGAAAGTTAGCATTGATTTGATCAGTTTGCTCGAATGTGCCATCATTAAGGCGTTCACTTAACATAGTGGCTAGGCGATTACATCGTGTTCGATCTCCTGCCATGTCGATGATAGTGTGCGAAAAAGAGCTCTCAATTGACCACTAACTTCAGGTTTACTGCAGCATCGCTGAACAAAATAACTTAATCTGGAATGTGGGAAACAATAAAAAGGGATTATTTTTAGACAGTCCTGTTAAGGCCTACCGATAGCTCCTCTGCGACTCGCAGGAACCAAAATTAATATTATTACTAATAATACACCAATATTCAACCCCCATAGTTTGTACTGTTTTTGAAAATGTTTACACTTTCTTTTGCACCCCTTAAAAAGCTGTGTTTTTTAAAATTGAAATTACTTATCGGGCTCGTTAGGTACCAAAATTGACACCACTTGAGCAAAAAAATTGTCAGAATATTTGCCACTGCAGCGCAACAAAAAACACTACTTGAGCACAAATATTTGTCACTTTCTTCGAAATTCGCAACAAGCAGCTGTTTTGAAAATAGCTTGTGAAAACTGAGAAACACTATCGCTACATGTCAGTACATAGACAACACAATACCACCAGACTTCTGAGGTCTAACTACCTAACAATTTCACACAACCCGTTCTCATCAATGCTTAACTTATGCTCAGCTATACATGTTTATACAGTAAAAACCAAGAAATGAATGCGCTTTAGTTAAGTTGATATAACTAAGACATGCTGCGTAAAGACATAATTTATGCTGCTTATATAGCACAGGACTTGGAGCAAAAACTGTGCAAAGAAATGTGTAAGTTATTTTACAAAAAACCTGGTAAAATCACACAAGCGTTGCTAGTTTAAAAAAGGGCAAAATAAACAAATTTACAAAATGCTAAGTCTTATACGAGAAAAGGCGAAAAACTGAAAGTGCAGTCGTTCCTTCGCAAAACGAAGCAAACTGAAGGCATTTGCAAAATTATATAAAAAAACTGTCAACAAACGACAACTCAGACGATTAAAAAAAAACTGGCTCAAAACTCGGAACTCAGGGGAAAAAATAATTGAAGTTTCTAAAGGAGAAAAACACAGTTCATTCAACTGATAAATGGTTAAGCCATAAAATTAAAGCGCTCTTGAACAATGATTTTTCAAGTCTTTTACTTCGGAATACGTAAACTAAAAAAATGCAAAGACATCCCCTTATAGCAAACCAGTGGCGCTTCAAATGTTTTTTGAGGGGGGATTTCCAAAAAAACTTTCTCTAAATGCGACATTTCAGCAGACTTTTGCTTATATGGATATATCAGAACCCAGCCCCTACAATTTTTCATAAAATTACTTCCCCGTTTTTTGATCTTCCACAGTATACGCTATCATTGTTGGAGTAATCCAAACAACTGGGCCGTTTATTGTTCTGGCCGTTGAAAATGGGAAGGAACTTTGTATTCGGGTGTGTTTTTTATGCTTTTCGTTTTCTACGCAAAATCAGAGACCACAAATAATCATCGGAATGGGTCAAGTAATATATCATATTGAAAACTTTTCAGTCGCGATTCGAACGACATTAGAAAACTGTTAATCAATTGTCCCTATCTCGAGAAAAATTGTGAAATTTTTGAGATTTAGTTCGATTTAGAGCGAGTAACGCTATTTGTATGGAAATTTACATTTTGTTTATTTTAGTAAAAAAACTTGATTTTACTATTAAAAACACCATTTATGATGTTTCAGTTAGAGCTTGTTTGGCATAAAAAAATTTTCTAAAAAAATTTAAAATTAATTTGCAAAATTCAAAAAAATTTTTACAAATTTTTGAAAAGTTTATTAAATTTTTTTTTATTTGTTTTTTTTAGGCAAATATTGTCGATCATGTTATATTCACTAATTTTCTACACGATCGCATAGTTCTTGAATGACACCATCCACTAACAATTTCGTTCTTTTGCGAATATGGTTTGAACATTCTGTGCTACTCCACAGCAACAGGCTATCCTTGTTTTGTATTTGTCATTTGAAATTTAAAAAAAAAGCGGTTTCAATTGATGTCAATAGAATCAAATATTCGACCTTCTGAGTGGAAAACGGAATGGTTTCGTAATAGAGCACTTCGTTTGTGCGATTGGAAAACATAGCCAACTGACAATTGGAAAAGAGTAATGAGCGCAAGGAAACAAACAAAAACTCACTTGTTTGTTAAAAAAAACTTCAACTCAAATTTTAAAGAAAAAATATATGCCCTTTAAGCTCTTTGAATTTCACGAACAAAATACCTGTACGTTTTTTGTGAACTTTGCAATTTTGCTGTTCGCTAATGGAGTTTGCCTTCCTTCCAACTATGAAGTGAAATTGAGAAAAATCAAACTCAAACTGCAAATCGAAACTGAGCGTGAACAAATTTTACGACTTTTTTCCTGAAAAAACAAGAAGTATATAAGAGTACTCACTACATTCATTACGCTTAAAAAGACCCGAAAGGAATAAAATAAAAACAGTATCTTGCAAAATTGCTAACTCTTTGCTAACAAAAAACAGCCTGTTAAAATAAAAATGTGGTGTTCCGGTGATTAGATTTACCCGACTAATGATGCAAATCGAGTTCAATTCGAAAAAAAAGAATTTTTTTTACAAAGTTGGAAAACAAGTAATTTAAAACAACTGACACTGAAAGTTACATTATAATCAATCAAACAGTAAAATAGAAAATTTGGAAGAGCTGAAAGCATAAATATAAATGATTTAATTCACTGTTTTGTGGCAAAAAACTGATTATGAAATTTTCTAGTCGGTTGTCTCACACGACTCTCACACATTGCTATCCAGCACAGACCTTGTCTTGTTCGATCTGGAACAGTCCTCTAAATGAGTCATAGCTTGTCCACTGACGAGGTCCTGTATGAAGTTGTTTTTAATTTCAACTCGCATCGGCAGACCAGATGAGTCACACTTCGATGTACTGTACATGCCCAAACGGATGCTCAGGCATTTCTTCTACGAAACAAAACGAATGTTCATTAAGTACCGATTTTTAGTTAATTCAAACTTGGTGACAATATTGGTGGCCTATGATGGTTCGGGTTTTTAGAGAATTTGTACGTTTTTACAAGCAAAAAACAATTTCCGCAGTCAAATTGTAAATAATTCAGGAGAACCGGTAGTTGATCAAGAAGCCCATAATAATCCAATCACGATAATTACGAAAAACAACTCAATTTTCAGTTTTTTTTTTAGTTAGAAGTGTCCGAATTAGGTTTAAAGAATGAAAAAATTAGAAGCAATAAAAAGTAGTAGAAATAAATTGTAGAAAGTTTTTATATTATTAGATCTTTCGATAGACTCATTTACATTTTAATAAATTTACACGATGAGATGGAAAAACAACTCCTAGCGAAGAATGGACAATTTCAGCTGGACCAACATCGGCCGAAAAAAAATGCCAAGAATTTGTCATCAACAATAAATATTGCATCTATAGAGTTGCAAAACTTTCAAACATACAGTATTAAACAATAAGAGCAATTCACAACTTTAAAATTGTTTTTTAATTAGTAGATAAAATTGAAGTAGTCTTAAAAGCATCAAAAGACAAGCAGCTAGATTAGAAGAATTACAAGTTAGACTTTAAGGTTAGAACATGTAAGAATCTTTCGTGAAAAAAAAACATGACATGAAAAACTCTTAATTTACTCCGTTCATTAACACTTGGTAACGAATAAAATATCACTCATTTTTTTTGAAATAATCAATAACAGACACGGAACATAGCCGACAGACAGTTGGAAAAGAGTCAATGAAAGCAAAAAAAACTGAAAAACTGACTTGTTTGTTGGAAAAACTTCAATTTCCAATTTCAAAGTAGAAAAAAAAATGTATGGCCTTAAAGCTCTTTGAAGTTCTAGAACAATTTATGATTGACAATTTTCTTTAATAAAATTGACCCAATTTGAGAAAACTGGGTTGTGGTAAAATTTTTACTTCGCAGAGAAATCTGGTAATTAAAATCCATTTTCGAAATTAGAAGTCTCACGTTTTTCGAGACCTTTTACATTTTTGCTGTTCAATACTGGAATTTGTCTCCCTTTTAACAAAAAAATGAACTGAACTTTAAAAAAATAAATCAAAAGTCAAACCGCAAAAAAAAAATTTGAGCCTGAACAACCTTCAGGACCCCTTTTCTTAACTAGGTACAAAATTCGTTACTAGGTACAAAATTCCATATGCTTAATCGCTGAATTAGTTCTATAATGGGGGTGGCGATTCGTAACTAGGTACCTAAGGAGCATAGTTAAGGAGATACTTGAGTGTATTCACTTCGATCATTGACACAATCATCTGCTGTATCAAAGAAAAAAATTACCCCAATTACGATAGTTACAAGGCTATTTGACTTAGAGCAGTTATGAATCTTTTATACCGTTTCTTTCATCTCTTTCGTTTCGGCTATATCCTCTGACTCATTTTGTTGACATTTTTTTCTGATATTCAGTGCACTCAGCATTTGTGTCAGCAAGTCGAACACCAGCTCGAAGCCACTATGAATCTTCAGTTCCCGACCTGTTTCTTCTCCTGAGCCAGCCATGCACATGTCCAGCATCTTCACTTTCTTACTCGCGTCCATGCGTTCTATAAATTTATATTTAAAAAATTGATCAACCGATCAATTCCCATATCAATTTAGAGGAATTAAGTACAGGTTTTGTAGGAGATGACTTCGAGGGCGAACAAACTGATCTAATTAGTCCAAAAAATAAATCGAAACCAAATTATGATTAGTATTTTAAGCTTTATAACAGGATAAACAGAGAGGCGAAGCTGCACTTCACAAACACTACAGAGAACACGACCAAAAAAGCAGCTTTATAAAGTGAATTAAGAAAAATAGAAATAAGCCTCGAATTAGTAAAACTTTGCTACGTATAGGATTCGAGCCTGTGATCTCGAGATTTGGAGTCGCACGCCCTGCCCGCTCGCCCACGAACTCTTACCGGCAAACACTGGTCACAAATAAAGCAGCTACATATGCTGATAAATTGCCAAATATGCTGATATGCGATGAAGCAAAAGTGGAACCAAATACAAATATACAAAACTTGGCAAGTATTATTTGGAATATAACAAACTAAAGGCATCCACGCTAACTTTGCATGCAAAAAATTGGAAAACATTAAGCCATATAATGTAAAAATTAAGCATTTTAAAAATTTGCGAGATCTATCGAGTTGGAAAATTTTCGAAGTCATTGTAATCTGATTTATTGTAATTATTTTCATTATTGTGAGGATATTTAAAGCAAATAGCTTTTTTCGGTTCATTTGAGCAATGAGAACTGCATCAAAGGTGTTAACTTATTAATAATCATATGTCAAATCACATGCTATAAAAAAACTGTAAATAAGCCCCAAAGGTGGCATCAATAGTTGCGACTTAGGTTAGAAAGAATAGTCGTACTATTACACTCCGCTCACTAAAGTCGCTAGTGTAAATAGCTATTCGGTATTTAAAATTTTTTCCGGCAGTATATTCAGCGCGCTTGCTTGAACTGAATATTTTACGCGGAATTGATGTTGCAAATTAATACATGCTTGGGGAGGACATTTAACGGTAGGTCACTTAGGAGGAGGGGGAGATTGTATTTTTGTGACAAGAACAACAGCATCTAGGAACTTGTACTTCGTGTGATTAAAACAATTGATCTTCTTTTACGCATTCATCAACATTCTGATCTTCAAAAGGCAATAACAAAAACTGTATTAATAAAGAATTCAGGTTCACGTTCGCGGGATGTACCGAGTATGAAATTTTATGCATTTTGCCAGCAATTGAAACCAAAGTAAGGTGCAAAATCGAGTGTTTAATTTTTTACAGGTCACTGGGCATACGTAATAACCCACTTTTTTCTGCTGCATCTCTAGAGTGGTAGCCCTTGCATATTCGGTAACAGTAGAGCCTCCAACACAGCATAGCTGCAATGTCTCTATTGCCAACTGCTCGCTCAAGATTATCAGGGGGATCGTAGCATTTCCAAATGAAAACAATTCCCGATTGCCCGAACGTCTCTAAGCACTTTTGCACATTGTCGTTGTCTCTGAAAAAACACAGGTTACGCAGGCCTAAGCAATAATATACGTTATTAATTTGTTGTTTCAACGGAAATGTAAACTTACACAGGTTCCCCATTATGAAGATTCACTGCCTTAAGCTTTGTTTCGCCAACTAAAACAGAGATAAAGATCAAAAATAACTCAAGTAGCCGGTGGCTGTTGATGTAGCAGAGAATGTTACGACTCTAAATATGTCTACAAAAATATAAGACATACGAGCACCCGGTTGCTGTGCAAGCAGTACACAATGCTCTGACTACATTTCGTCTCTGAAAAACTTGATTCTGTGTATTTTTCACAACAACTATGATTGACTACAAAGAAATTAGGACGGCCGTGGTTGTTAACTTCAACAATAAAAAATAGAATTTGTTAACGCAAGCAAACACAGCAAAATTCATGAAAAAAAAACTGCAAAACCAACGCTTAAACATGCTTGAAAATTACATGCAAATCAGCAATGAAGGCGCTTCACGTGATAGGCCTTTATGTTGTGCAGTTGGAACATTTAAGAGCGTAGCCTAGATGCTAGAAGTTTTGTTGCGCGATTAAATTGGTTTCATCAAAGCAAAAACTTCAAACCAACTTATCTAGACACCGCTAAAACGTTTCCAAGAACATGTTCACAGCAATCAATAAATTTCCAAAATTTTCGAATGGAACTAATTTTATGTTAGGGAAATCAAATCTAAAGATTTTACCTGGAACAATCATAAACATGCTTGAAATAAAACTTACGTCTCGAGGGTCCAAATCTATGCACGTCCTCGAGATCAACTTCAGAGTTAGGATTGGTTGAGACGAATCTGAAACCTCCTTTACTTTTGTTTTCATACACAATTTCTGTTTGTACTTTACGCATCTTTTCGTCTTTCCTCGCACGAATATAAACGTGCACAGTCATGTCCTTGATGAACGGTTTCCATGAGTTTTTAACTTCTTGGTGGTATTGTTTTAGCAGCTGAAAATCTTCGTCTGCTAATCGATCAAAGTTTATTTTTTCCTCTGTTTGCAAAAATCGCTCAAACGTTTCTAAATTAGCTCTTGGCGTACGTAGTGGTGTTTTATTGGGTTCCTCCTTCAATTGAAACGACCGATCGGAACCCGATTCAAAAAGATCTGCCGGATCCCATGGAGCAGCTAATTGGCTACGATTCTCTTGAGAATATCGATTCTCATATGCCCCCTGAGGAAAACTCTCAGAGCCATGATAGCTTATTGGATCTTGCTTTACAAAAGGAGAGGCTCCAATATCCCCAGTAGCTAGTGCATCAATGTCTCTGAATTCGCTAACCAACTGTTCAACTTTAGACATCTTTGTCGGCGGAACAGAAACCGAGGAGGATCCACTGCTCCCAGGAGCATTTTGGAAACAGAGATACTGGTTATCCGGAAACCGGGACGACTGCAAGCTCGGGTCATTAAGCAAGCTCGGGTCATTCGGCATTTGACAAAAACTAGTTGGTTGGGTAACACTCTGCTGCATTTGTGTCACTGGTGGCTGTTGTTGGAACTGAAATCGTGTGGTACTACTAGTTTCCATTGGCATGTGTACACCAGCCGAGTCGGGCAGCTCGTTTTTTGTGAGACAGTAGACTGGATACTGATTAGCCTGAAGTTCAGACATTGTAGCCTGTGCTTGATAGTTACTTTGTGAATGCCAATTTTCTTCACTGAGAAAAACGAAATTGGACTGATTCTGATTAAAGGTCTCGTTTTGATATGGAACATGTTCCTGCTGCTGCTGCGCTGATGTTGAAGAGGATACGGTACCTGATGCAAGCACCTCCATTCCACAGTGCAGAGCAGTACATTTAGACGGGGAATTCTCAATTTTGTATTCATCTGGACGATGCAATTGCGGCTGGGGGTTCTGGCCAGCATACATTGTCGGACCATAGTTTTGTTCATGTAAAGGAAAATTCGTGGAGCCAGAAAATGTACTAGGATAAGACTCTAGATTTGGTTGTGAATAATATTGAGATGTAGTTGTAGGAGCAGCCCCCCACTGGGAATGAGTCAAGAAGTGCTGCTGCGCAGGAGGAGGAGGGGTAATGTTTTCGATGCTGGATCCCCCTTGGTAAGAGGGCGAAGGTGGAGTTATGAACTGGTACTCCTTTCGGTTCGTCTCTGACTCCCCACTGACTGATCTCAATTTTCCTTCCTTCACTTGTTTGTTCAGCGTCGCTTTCATGTTACTCTAAATACAAACTTTCGAAACTAAAAGCCACAAAATTTGCAAAGTATACTAAGTAGTATTATGCCTATGCTATTTGAATTATAAATAATTATGTCCATGGAAAATAAAGCCACCAAATTTGCAATGTATAGTAAGTGGTATTATGCCAATGCTAAAGGAGTGATAACTAATTGTGTACATGGAAAATGAACGTCCTGCCACATTAAGTTTTGATATACTATAACCTATGTTGGGACCAGCCAGATAGAATATTTGTCGATTAGCATGTCCAATGTCCACTGGAGCTAACTTGCTCGCGATTTCAAATTTTGCATCTTTTAGTCGAATATGTAGGATCTCGTAACTACCCCCGGTGTAAAAAGGGGGGGGGGGGGGTAAATTGTTTAAAAGGTTGATCCTTTCGTAAATGCTTTATCACCGTTGAAATAATCATTTTTAATGGTGGATATGCTTACCATAGTATCATAGGAGGGTAATGGATCCAATAGTTTCCGTGACAAGCACAAAAACATTGCCGTCAACAAACAGTCACCATGAAAAAAAAATTCCAGTGAAGTACCAAAAATCTTTAGTTAACCTTAGTTTACATCTGTTCAAAAATGAGGCCTTCAAAAAATTAAAACGCAATAGAGAATTTTGTATCGGCAACTCACGTGCTGCAGTTGGTGCATGAAATTCGCAAATGGTATCGATGAATGTAAGAATTTACAGAAAGCAAGCAAACAAAATAATGATTTTACCAATATCAATTTCGCGTATTTAAAGCACCACATTTTCTCAGAATTCCCTCTGTGGGTTACATGTCAGTTAAAAACAAAAACTGCAACTGCAACTAGATATTAAAGCGGTCAATTCCTTTAAAAATTCAGCTCTGGTATTAAAAGTTCAGATCTGGTATTGACATTTAATTGGTTCTAAAATTTGTACAACCATTCAAAAATATTAGTAGAGAATATTTGAGTTTTAGTTATAGATACAAAGCTATCAAGCTTAACCAAAAACTTGTAAATATCGTCTCTCAGAAAACAGAACCACCGTATCGCTGTGCTGCTGCATTACGCGCAGGTATCAGATAATTCCAAGAACAGAACCACAATTTTCACCGAAGTTCTTATTACACAGAGGCAAAGCGGAGCTTCGCAACACTCGCGATACAAAAAAATTCAAATTTTTGTTCCCCCACGATGACCATTCTGAGAAAATTATGTTGAGAAAAACAATCACCAGAATGATTATAAATAAGCATTCATAATCATGCCCCGAGAGGTGACTGAGCCGACCTTATTTGAGTACACGCCAAGTGAAGTTGTCGTATTGAAAAGGTTCAGGATTTAACACAGGCAACGCTGCAGCTTTGCAAACAGTAGCGAGAAAGCGGCAAAAATTCAAGAGCTTTAAAAAACTCATATGTAAATTTTTGGAATGTAATAAACTAAAGGCAACCACACCACCTTTGCAAGTAATAAATTGGAAAATGAGAATCCAAATTTTATATAAATTAAGCGATTGCGAAATATACCTAGTTAAAATGTTCTGAAAAAAAGTTTTTATTATCATACTGTTGTGAGAAACAAATAGCTTTCGTCGGTTCATTTCGTCGGTTCATTCCTTGATGTAACAACTAAGCTGCCGAAACATAAGCAGACAATCAAACGTCCGACAGTACAATTTTTCCCGGAATTTTTTTTTCAATTTCACGCATACTGAAAAAAAATAAGCTTCTGCCGGGACTCGAACGCCAGACTTTAGGGTCCAAAGGCCACCGCGTTACCTCTAGACTAAGTGCAAAACAGTCTCAAACTTGCTTAGGTTAGCTAATAGAGGTACTTCAAAATTTCTTACACGGGCGAAGCTGAGCTTCGCACCACTTGCGATGCAACACTCGAAAAAAATAGTCTAAATAACTTCAAAAAATGTCTTAAAAGAGAAAAAAATAATCAAAACACTAAGAAAATTAAAAAAAAACTGGATCTACTCTAGAAGCCAACAAAAAAATAATACAATAGAATGTAAAAAATTTCCATCGGAAAACTTAACAGGCAGTAAAAAAACCAAAACTGTCTGAGCGGAAACCCCTAAAGCCGAAAAAATGCTCATCAGCAATGCAATATGGGGCCCCTAAACCCATATAAAACATTCCGAAACCAATTAAACCGAGAAAAAAGAAGTTTTCACAAAGCGAGTTAGTAAAATTGCAACCAACATAAAAAAAAACAAAAAAAAATTATAACAAAAAAAATATGCTCAAAATATCTCTGTTGCAACAGAAAGGCAGAGTAAACGAATGAGTCCAAGATCCAGAATATGAGTCCTAAGCCTAAATTTAATTACGGAAAAAAGATAGTACTCGATGGCAATACCCTTGCGTATCTCAAGGGCAAAAAATGTGTAAGAAAAGTTGTTTACGGGAAAAAAAGTCTAGTTCCAAATTACAAGCCAAAGTTTTGTTCCTGATTCCATTTACGTTTTTCTGATGGCCTTCAAAGCTGAGAATAGGTTCAATCGGCAACAATTTCAAGGGTATTTAGTTCCAAATATTTAAGTGTAAAAAGATTTATGAAAGCTTGATTTTAAGAAAACATTAACCATATATAGTCTCTCACAGTCTATTATATGATTTAATTAAATGCTATTAACAAGGAAAACGGCACCAAATTAAAATAGATTTGAAGAATATACTGTATTTTACTGTAGTCGGATTATTCTGTTCCACCCGCAAAACCATTGGCTACCCTTTAAACTAAATACCCTTGAAATGACTATATTCTCAGCTTTGAAGGCCATCAGAAAAACGTAAGTGGAATCAGGAACAAAACAAGAACAAGACCGTAAGAAAGCTTTTTTAATTTCAAAAATTAAGTCAGAAGTCGTCAAAAATTGGTTTGTTTGCAACTGATGAACTGCTAACGAATTAGAGTTTCTGCTAACGAATTAGATTTTCTGCTAATTAGATTTAGCAAAAAATGGGATGCAAAATAGTATGATAGACGACGAACAAAAACACTGAAATCAGACAAAAGACTATCGCGCTCCAAAGAAAAATTTTTCGTTCAACTAAAAGAAGAAAATGGCAACCTACGGAACAAAATGAAAAAATAATCGAATAAATTACAAAATGAAAAGAATAATCGAAAATCTGACAGTCAACCCATTAGTATTCCAGAGTCTGATAAGATATATTATCCCAAAGTAATTCTCTAGTTCTCCGATACACTGATAAAATCAGACAGCAAGTTAAAAAAAGTGTACCATAGGTATATATCGGAAAAAAACAGCTAAACATAGCTATCAATCGGCAACAATTAAAGATCTTGAAGGTGTTAATCAACGATATTGCCTAGTGGCTAAAACACAAGCCTTGATAATTCATGCAGGCCACTATAAAATACATAAAGGCAAATCAGCATATGAAGCGGCACAACAAATGCGTGACATGGTCTCAAAATATATCGAAAAAAAAACACCATCTTGCAACATCACAAACTCCACTTGTAAAAACGGGTTTTTTCGGAGTCAGCGTAACAATTTTACTATTGAATCTTTCAATGAGCAACTACCAAATCTTGCAACTGAACTAGATGGCCTCTCAGTTAGACAAAAAGGGAATGTATATCTAAAAAAACTTGAGATGCACGATATATCCAAACATAAGCGGCATTCAGAAAAAGGTTCATAATTTAATGTTCAGTGGTTGGCGTCAAACGTTTTCCCTGCTTAAAATAATCGAAATCAGGCCAATGACCCGAAAAGATTTATTTCTGTCAATTGATAGTTTACAAAGAAAAAAAGCTACTGGTTCTATGAATATACCATCGTGGAGCATTCAATGTGCGAAACTTGCACCGAGTAAACACCTACAGATCCTAATAACTGAATGCACCAAGTCGAAAGCTTTTCCGGATGAGCTAAAAAAACGAACATTTGACCAGTTTATAAAAAAAATGATAGAGTAGCAGAAAATTATGGGCCAATTTCTGTGACACCAACTTCTGCTCAACTTAATGAGAAAAATTTATTAATACACTTAACTGAATATATACACAAAAATTAGCTTTTAAATGTTATGCAAATCAGTTTTCGAAAAGAGAAATATTCTGTCGACGCTCTAATTTCATTAACGGAAAAACTAAAATTAAATTGTCGCAATGAAGTTATGTCTGCAGTTGTTTTTTCGGACCTTACAAAAGCGTTCATTTCAAAATCTCACGATGTTTTTTTAAGAAAAAGATTCAACACATGGGTTTCTCAAAAACGGCTGTGACATGTTCGAAAACTTTTTGAAAAATCATCAACAGGCAGCTAAACTGGAAAATACAATATCCGAATGGGAATCATCAAGTACCACAAGGGACAGTTCTCGGACCAATAGTTTTCATCCTTTATGTTAACGATTTTCGTTCAGTTTTAAAATGCTATATGACGTCGATGCTTACATGAAAAAGAATAGTCTCTTTGATTTCAGATGAAACAAAATTTCTTTTATTCAACTGTGAAATGAGTTTCGAGCCAATTTTTCATAATAATCATGAAACTCAAAACTTAAAAATTATGCAGATGTCTATGAATTTTTTTGCTTTGTGCACGATTTAATCATCTCAAATCAAGTCAACAATTTTTTTTTCAAACGGCTTAAGGAACCTCTTCACTACATCTTGCTACGAGCTAAGCGCCAAAATAAGTTCGGATTAACTTATTTAACTCTTTAGTATTATCCCATATAAGATATAGCGCAGTTTTCTTACAAAATTTACAAATTTCACAATTGAACAGAATAAATAAACAAAGAATTTGGGAAATAGACGTCTCTTTACTCAGCAAGAAATTTGGTAAAGCACGTGATTTACTAACAAAAAGCAAAACACTTCCTACAGAGCTATTGATAACAAAAATGAGTCTTCGCAAATCTTTTGATTGCTTAAGAAATGAAAGATCAGGAAATGTTTTTTTTTGTCTAAAACGCTAAGAACGCATAGAAACTACAGATAATACACCAGAGTCGGACAAACAAACAAAAATCAGTGGCAAGAGGCTCTATTAAAACATGAAAGTCACTACCTTGAAAAATCAGACTCGTCATATCTCGCAAAAACTTGAAGACAAATTTAAGACTTACCATTTACAGAAACCCTAATCAGTATCAATTAAAAGATATCTCGGCGGATTTAGAAGTTTCTTCTACCAATTACTTGTCTTGTTAAGCTAATTAAATAATTGGTGTCACTTGCAGTTATACTTATATAGTTGATTGTTTGTAAAAGTAATCAACCCTAAATATGTTTTATTAACCAAGAGTTTACATTAAATTACCATGTTCTGCTGTAAAAATTGGGATACTATGGTTCCAACCACCCTCGATGAAATTTAATCATGTTAAAGGATGTGTTTTTTACGCCCAAAAGAAAGCGCACCGGGGTTAAGTAAAGCATCCTGTTAAACACTATCAAAAGGAATTTTTTAATAACTGAAAATTTGACTAAGTTACACGAATTAACCATATAAATTTTTAAACTCATCAGACAATATTACTTTTGCAAAGAAATCATCAACTCATTCAATTACTTCTCAGAAATATATCAGAAATTTCTTTAAATCTTATAAATCTCTAAAACCAATATCTCCTCGTCGTATTACCGAAAAGAACATAGTCGTTACAATCTGGTCTACTTGAACAGCAACTGGCTATCCGTATTTACATATACTTGCTTGTTTCCTTTTAACAGGGTAGACGAAAATAGGTGCTGATGAAATCAAAGCCAACTAATGCTCGCACGATTTGATTATGCAGTATTTGCAACTAGTCAGAGAACTATATAAGCAAAACCTTGAGATTTTACTCTAGGGTAATGGGGCAAAAACACTTGGCAGGCAAAATTATGATCCAAAATTGAACAATCCAAATCGAGTCGATGGAGTAGTGTTTACTTATCGAAAAAATGGATTAAGTTTTCAAACGTTTTTTGAGATATTTTAAATTGAAAATCATCACCCACTCACTATGTTAACTGCCATGTGATATATTACGCATAAAGCAAAGTAATAGATAGACTAAATAGCATGCCTCAATTCGAGAAACGAATAATTTTTAAGACGGATTAAATCTCCGCTCACGCGCTAGTAAAAAAAATCTCGAGCGTTTATTGCTTCATATTGGCAATCTTTAAACCCGCATAACTTAACCAAATTGATCACAGGTGAAATAGTTTTAAATTTGAGCTCAGAACAACGATACGTTTCAAATGATATTGAAAAAAACTTCAGTCATAAAATGTTAATAGAAAAAACCACCCCGAGCACAAATGTTCCGTCACTTTCTTCGAACAATAAAAACGACGATAGAAAATAGGAATAAGTAATTCCTTGAAAAAATCCTATCAAGCAAAAATCCTATTACAATTAATTCAAACTTCGGGAAAAACAAACGCTACAGCTTTTTGAAAGAAGTTTGTTTAAGTCATAGCTGCTTTTTGATCAAGGAAATTGAAAACTGCTTAAATCGGTTTTTAAAATATGAGACCAGATTTATATTCATCTTTTGCACTTTTACAACAAAAAAGCAGGCAAACTGGCAGAAAAAATTACAAAAAAAATATCAAACAAAAATTTAATTCGTTGCTCTCGAATGAAGAACAAAGTTTTAATTAGTTGGTCTCGAGTTTAAAAAAATGGATGATATATATTTTTTAAATAACGAAGGAATAAAAATGCATGCTTTGGGATGTAAGGTGATAAAAATAAGCAGACAAATGATTGTCCAACAATTAAATGTTTCCAAGAAACAATTTTTTCTAATGGAATCGAGTTGAGCAATTGGATTTGAGCACGGCCGGATTTGACTACAGTACTTCCCGTCCCGAGTATTTATGTTACATATCGGCTAAATTGGCAGAAATAATCATTGGATTTGAATTTAATATGAGGTACGGAACCGGTTACAATACCGTAACTCAAAAATGCTTCCACTACTTTTAAAATAATCATTTTTATGCTCAATCCCTTGTTATGTCAAAAATTTTGAAATTTCGTTTGACACTGAAGAAGCAGATCATCTTATAACTGTTTAAACTTCCAGAGTTTTTAATGATCAACAATTTTCAGATGTCATTGAACTCGAGCAAACATAAAAACAACTATTGACTTTCCACAAACCAAACTTGAAAAATGGGCAAATAAGTAATTTTGAATTCCACTGAGCAATAAATCCAGTTTTGAAAACAGACATTCACCTTTTAACGCACGCCATTTGTACTGTTGCTATTGGAGAGAAAAATTTTTCCAATTAGCAAAAAAATGTGAACTTAAAAAAATTAACCAGTTTCTATGTATGTATAACAGATTATTCCGAACAATTAGCCAAAAAACTCATTAAGAAAAGATAAAACTATTAAAATTTATGATGTACCGGAAACGAACCCCAGGCCACGAAACTAAGAAACGCTCCTTCTAGTATCTGCGCCATGGGCACAAACCATGAATCCAGAAACTAAAGTAAAACAGATAATTTGCTATTGCAGAGAAAATACACCAGATATAATGCTATTGATGCAAAATTTTCCCCAAACGAGTTATTTTATTTGCGACTTGGGATAGAAAAAAAGTAGACTTCGTGATATGACACTATGCTTCGCAAGTGTCAAACAGACGACGAAATCAAAAAAATCAATTCAAACTTTTTTTCCCAAAATTACAGCTAATCTTTTTGCAAAGAGCGAGTGAATAATGTAATAAAAAAAAGGAAAAAATTAGAAGCAATAATGGCTAACGTAACGTTAAAGTAGTAGTCAAATTTCATTGGAAAAATCCAGACCCAGTTTTTCTCGACACTGAGAAAACTCAGACCCAGTTTTTTTTTCGACATGACAGATTTTTAAAATTTGTTTTGAATCCAAATCACGGCGAATTGGGCTTCAATATGAGATCAAACTTAAGTTCTACTAGCTTTCCTGTAGGTAGTCAAAACTAAAATTAAAAAAAGGGCAAAAAAAATTAAAAAACGGAACCTACGCCATAGTTACTTTACACTCTTCGCCATAGTTCTTAACAAAATTTGAGCGCGGACAACTACGATAGCAAATGTAGAAACTATTTCCTGAGCAAAAGCGAGTACAAAACCGAACAAGACTGCTCGTGTCAGCTCGCGAAGCCCTGAATGTTCCGACTGCCTTTTAAGATTTATTGAGCAGCAGTAATACATAAAAAAAATTAAATGAAATAAAATAAATTTGAAATTTGTAATGAAAATCATCCCTCCACACGCCATATAAAGTACAAAAAGATAGATTTTGTTCCTTGTAACAAATCAATTATGGCAAATAAGCTTCGTTCAACCAATTTGGAACGATTTATAAGACGGATTAAATCTCCGCTTACGCGTTAACAGCGCGAATTATATTGCGCGTTAATTGTCCCAAATTGGTCAAAATGTAAATCTTTAAACCCTCATAACTTTACGAAAAATGATCACAGGTGAAATCTCTTTTCAAATTTAAGCTCAGGACAACAATACCTTTTGAATGATATAAAAAATTCCGTCAAAAATGGCTAGTTAAAAAGTCGAAATTTGTCTGAAGAAAAAAAACCCACCCCGAGCACAAATATTCCGTTACTTTCGTATCGAAAGTCGGAACAATTAGTTAAATAAGTCTTCATTTTGGTCAATTTTTTTGCGTCTTTGCACATTTCTTCTTTAAAAGCGTTATTAGCTATTAATTCGTTCTATGACGTAAAATGTGACGTAGGGAATGAAATCTGAATGCATAGCCACAAAAGCGACCAAGCGTTGAAGATTGACTTTTATACCATCACCGATAGCGAATGAGTGCTATTTACGAACTAACCTTAGCTTTGTCAGGAGAGATGCCATGTTTGCGAGACACATACTTTGCGTAGAGCTGAAACATGAACAGAGGATTGGATAAAAAATCATCATGAAGAATCCTATCCATGTCTATCAAAATATTAACAACTCGATGAAGAAAATAAGCGTTAACATATAACCAGAAATTCAAAATTCCAAGTGTTTTCACACGTCGCGACATATTCAGACTTCATACAAATTTGATGTTTTTAGAAAATAGAAATGAGAGTATGTTAACAAAAAGTGTTTCAAAGAAACATGATAAAACTCCAATTAATTAATTAATTTTTGTCAAATGATCGTTTTTTTTCTTCGCAAAACCAAAAGCAAGGCACAAATTTTATTTTACAGTTCTCAGTTCGACTAGAGCCTTCTCGAGCAATAAGCTGAAATGGAAAAGCTAGTTTGCATGGAAAAACGGTCACTGAAGGGAAATTCAAACTCTCTTTACGGTATTTTGAGTAAAGCTACAAAAAAATTGTCATTGCCGAAGCCAGTGTAATGACGTATAGTGAAAACTATAATGAGAACTTACAATCGTATGATTTGACTATCGTATAACGTATAAACGTATTATGACCTTGCTTTCATATGAAGATCGTCCAACTGTATAACTTGAAATTCATTTTGTATTCCAATCAAAATTATTGTCATAGATTTTGAAAGCTAAAAGATCGCCTCCATAATCCTTATCAAACGAAAAAAATTTTGTACCAAAATTGAGAAAAGTTATGAACAAAAAATTCTAAAAATAACGAAAAAAACTTCAATTTTTAAAATTTTCTGATACACTTGAGAACAATTTATACACATGAGGCAAAGCGGAGCTTCACACATTTTGCGATAAGGGACAAATGTTGAAACAATCATTGCCAACAGAAAGTTGCAAAGGAGTCAATGAACGTAGCGAAACAGAAAAAAAACGGACTTGTTTTTTGAAAAAATCTCAACTTTCGAATTCCTAACAAAAACATAAAGCTGAAACATGAAACGAGGATTAGGGGTAAAATCGACACGAGGAAAATCAACAAGTTCCTATCTTAATAGTGATTTGGGAGAACTCAGAAATCAATTTGTGCCGAGCAAAAAAGCTGTGCGCTCCCCTATTGATGGGCGACCAAGGTTGGGCGACTAGCAGCAACAACCTAAAAAAGGTCGACAAAATTCCTCGAGAAAATCCTAGATCTGCCCCTGATCCAAACTACCAAAAAATAATTCATTTTTCATAGCATTAATGAAAAGGCTGGGCTTTACATTGAAATTTTATTAGACAGATCATTTGCTGTAAAAAAACGTTGCGTAATTGTAAGACATTTACCTCAAAATGACTCTTAGATTTGCATCCAGCTTCTGGTTCAAATTGATGCTTGTTTTCCGTCTTTCGATCGTCGAAGAGCTTGATGAAGAAAATTTGTTCCTGAAGCAGTCAAAAGAGAAACTGTTAGTTATTTAAAATTAGAAACATTAGCCAAATGATAGTCAAGGGTGAATTATCGAAGTGAAGACCGTGTTGTTTTTTGTTGTAGTTATTTTAAGAAAAAAATGAAACTTATTAGCGCTCAAATTTAAATGCTCACAGTTTGACGTTTGATTCATTTTAAGTTCCATTCAAATTGATTTCCAAAATGAATTTGAATTTGAGCAATAAAAATATTCATAAGGGCAAACTAAGCCATATGAAAAAAGTTACTACGCCTGTAGGCTTCGCACCGCCAACTTGCAAATTTAGAGCCTCACATCTTTGAATTTGCACCATGATAGCTTGGTGCCAGGCGAAAACTAGCCATCATCAAAGCAGATGAGATGAAATTAAATTGCTAAGGCTATGCAGCAGAAATGAGCCCTTATTTGCGAGTTAGGTCGGGAAAAAAATATTTACGAGTTAGGTTGCTTGTAGAAAAACTAAGCTATAGGCTAATAGGGCCTGTTTCTGTTATTGTTTCGAGTTCTAAGCAGCACAACAATACAACACGCCTTACAAACCTTGCTGATGTTCAGAATTAAACATTGCGTGGTGTTCAAATCGGATTCATACGATAGGAAGCTCACTAATCAAGCAGCAGAGAATGTTCCGATCACATTCATTAAAAAATAGAAAAACAGTTTTTTTTATTTTCTTACTGTCGTTTTTTAAGCGGGTAGTGTGATTCGAGAACTATACACTTGCGTAGAAAATTAGTCAAATAGCCATGATGGACAGCATTTGCATTCAAAAATGAAAAAAACTGTTTGCAAAATAATTTTAAATTTCTTTTAGAAAAACTTTTTTTTTTGCCAAACAAAAACCCACAATAAACATCCACAACTACTTTTCTTTATAATTAAATCAGTGGTACCTTTGTGGTACCTGATTCTGTGTAGAAAAAAAAATAAAACACATCCGAATAAAGTTCCTCCCCATTTACAATGGTCGGAACAAAAAGGGAAAATACCATGATGTAGTAATTTAGGCGAACAGGCACAAGCAGACACGCGATAATTTGGTAGTACGCCAGTAAATCACTGTATCAGTTATGGAAAACGCGCTGACCCGATCAGTGAATCAAAACTGCATTATTCAACACAGTAGCGAAACTGCAGGACCGCAAACACGAGCGAGAAAGCGGCAAAGATTCAGGCGCTTTAAAATGCGCAAAATTCAAATTTTTCATGTAATAATTTGGAATGCAACAAACTAAAACCAACCCCACTAAGTTTGCATGTAATAAAATAAAATGTATTAGACCAAACAGTGTATAAATTATTCTTTTCAAAAATCTGGCGAAGTATATCAAGTTAAAAAATTTCTGCAATAGGATTTAAGTTATTATCCTGTTGTATGAAGTAAATAGCCTTTTTCGATTCATTTGATGAATTAAAAAGCATCAATTGCGTAAGCTTATTACTAATCAAATGTCAAAGCATGTGGGATTATACAGCTAATACATCCTACTGATTCAAAAAACGCCACGAAAAGTAGCACTTACATTTGCGACTTAGCTTAAAAAACGTTGCATCGTACCTTACACTATGCTACGATGGTGAATCACATGAACGAAATAAAACAAAAAAAAATTCTTGCCACGAGCACCACGGTTCTAAAATTAATCTTCTAGCTAATTCATTAAATCTTTGATTGCATGCAATTGATCTAATTATTACGCAATTTGGTTCAAAAATCTGGTATTTTATACTAGCACTTCGGTGTAAAACTGGCAAAATCACTGTTCCTGGTCGGAATTCCTAAAAAGGAATCCAGTCGAGTCCTAATAAAAACTTTTCAAAAAGATAAAGTCCATTGCCCGATGACTACAGCATTTACCAGGGTAGTGAAAAACAGTGAAAAATATTTAGTACAAACTTCGTATAATTTTATACGCAGATAATTATTGAAACTAAAACCGTTTTTGAAACCAAGCACCCGTTTTTTGTAATTTCAACTTCTTGCATTATTAAAGGTCACATTTGAGCTCTGCGTGGAAAGCGAAAATCAGAAATGAGCTCCAGTAAATCAACAACCAAATCACTTAGCCGACAGACAGTTAGAAAAGAGACAATGAAAGTTTTTAAACAAAAACCCAGCCTTCGAATTGAAGAATAATAGTATATAGCTTCAAAGTTCTTGAATTTTAAGAACAATTTATGATCGACAGTTTTTTTTGATGCAATTATTTCAATTTGAGAAAACAGGAGCAATATAAAATGCTTTTATTCCTATGGAAAATCTTAAATCAAAACCGCAAAAAAATCGAATCCGAGCGTGAACCAATAGTAAAACTTTTCCTGAAAAAAGTAACAAAAATCATCAAGACCTAGATCAGAGTCATCACTAAGCGTGGCCCTTTTTCCTTATCATCCCCCATCTGCAAACTTTTCCCCCATCTGCAAAGTAAAATTACTGTTCCCACCAACCGATTGTTATGAAAATTGACAAGCTAACTAATTGGGTCATGACAAACATATTTGGTTTTCATAATTCACCTTGTTAAAATCCTCATTACACCATAAAATTGATGCTGATGTGAGGTGGGGGAGGAAAAAAAGCCCTGAGCGTGATACGTTTGAGGAGCGGTGATTACATAAATTCGGAACAACAATTTTACTTACATTTATGTCCACCCATCCCACTAGCTGCTCTCTATAAACATGGCACCATAGTGGTTCCTCTACTGGTGGAAATTTAAATCCACATCCTATGGTTTTACAGTCGTGATACAGCATTTTTCTCAGGAAAACGAGAAAATTCATTTTCTCTTTGTATTCCCCGCTGGCTTGAATCAGATTGTTTTCAAAGTCAATGTCCATTTTTCAAAGTCACAAGAAAAGCTTGTTGTTGTCTAACGACTGAATTAATTTAGCATTTGATCCAAATGGGGCCTGGAAAAATAGACGACTATCAAATTAGACGGAAGCACTTACAAGAAAATAATATATATTTGCTAAACTGCAATTCTGAGAAACAACAACTGTTATTCCTGCGAATCGCAGAGGAGCTATCAGTAGGACTTAACAAGCCTGACGAAGGATAGTCCATTTGTATTATCTCCCAACAATTCAGACTGTGTTATTTTTGCAGAGCGAAGTTTTTTTTAGGAACCCAAGGCCCTTTTTTGCTTCTAGAACTTACAGGTGGTACAATTATTGCAGCCGAAATTGGTCTGGCTGTAGTAAACCTGGAGCTAGAGGTCCAGTGAGAGCTCGTCCTCACATACTATCATTGCCATGGCATGAGATCGGATACACGATCTGACGTTTTCAAAGTGAACGCCTTCCACTATGCTCGCATAGATGCAAAATTTCAAAAAAATTTTGTCGAAATACCGCGTTGGACAAAATCACCAATGGATTTAGATTTTTAAAAGATGGCGGAACCAAATTCGGTTGTCACTACTGATGCGTTGTATCCAATTTTAACGGAAAATTATTGACCAGTTTAGAAATCAAGAAATCCAGGCGACCACAGTCACGAACCCGACCTTATATATATATAGCTCCGGAGAAAATTAAAAGCAAAAAAATTGACTAAATATATATTGCTATAGCAAAACCAGTGAATATGATTTACGAAGAGCAAGTTAAACTGAATTCTGGAATCGAAAATCCGACAGAGTAACTCAAAAATGGCAGCGAATTACTGAAATACCGAATCCGACGTTGGCCAAAAACTCCAGGACGTGAAAATAGATGGTATGTGAATTAAAACAGGCAATTATCAAGACTTTTTATTATAAGATGTTTGATTGGTAAATTTTTGTTCGCCGAAAAATCAGTTTTTTTTTGGAAAAAGCAAACAATTTTCATGCGGCGGTACTTTGAGGACTGCATCAAAACCATTTCATCATTTTTTTACGTGTAGTGAATGATCGCTAAGTTACATCACTCTGGACTATAGAAAGGATACCAAAATCTATGAGAAGGTAACCACTCCTAATCACGTTACCCGTCTCGTAATCAGATTTAACCGAAACATTTCCTATTTTTTCCAATAACTGTGGTAAGTTTCTTTCGTATGTTGAAATTGGATGGAAATCCGCGGTCCTAGACTGAAAAACAGTTTTAATGCAGTTTTGAAAGTACTGTCACATGAAAAGTGTTTACTATTTACCAAAACTGCCGACTTTTTGGCAAACAAAATATCACCACTCCAACCTCAAAGAATTTCTTTGATTGTTGCATATTTTACGCTAAATACCTACCATCGATTTTCACAGCGATTTTTTGGAACTTTTGGCTAGCATTGGCTTCGGTTTTTCAGTATTCTGCTGCTAATGTTGTGGTCTCTTGTGGATTTTCTATTTCAGAGTTCAGTTTAACGTGTTCGTCATAAATAATTTTCACGGTTTTGCTGGATCATTTTCTTCGTCGTTGTATTTAGGGTCAAGCTTGTGACTGTGATTGCGTGAAATTCAAATAGTTTTCGTAATTTCCGAATTTGTCATTGGTTTCCGTTACAATTTGGGACAACGCATCAATAGTGACAAAGACAACCGTATTTGTTTTTGCCATCTGTTTTAAGTGACAATCTATCATCGATGATAATTTGTCACCTTCAATTTTTTTTCTCACAAATTTTGAATCTTTGCAACTGAAACTTCATTGCAGGCTGCAAACAATTAATGTTTCCACCCGATGACAAATCACTTATGTCTGCTTTCTTATAATTATAGTTAAGCCGAAACATCTATTTTCCTTTGAGGTGCTTCCGTTTTATTTGATTGTTGTCTAATTTCCTAGGCCCCATCGCAATTCTCAATTTGTGACACACATCGATCAAAATTGACTTGAAGTCACTGTGCTTCACTTCATATATTCATGATGTCGACTACTAAATCGTTCATTCTCAGATATCTAAAAAAAGATGTCTCGCAAAACCACAGAAACCTGAGGAATTTCTCGAGTCTTTTTTCACTTCGGCGAATGCCTATTTGACATTCTTCGCCTCGGCCTCTGATCTTGGCTACCTTGCAGTTCCAAACATTTATTAAGTACAATCTTGGGCAACTCGCCTTACCAACTGGGTGCTCAGGGAACTCGCTATACAAACCAGTGAAAATCAACACTCACATGCATGCATGCAAGTCAAAATACATCCTTCGTTCAGAACTTCCTTATTGGAAATTGAAGTTATTCTATGAACTCAGAATTCTTCAGACGAAAGTTAAAGTTTCAAAAATTAACAAAACTGCACAGCAGCCAATCGGCGCATCATCACACAACTCAGTACACAAGAAAGTATTAAATTTTAATTCTCGAAGAAAAAATAGAGCCAGCAAAATTACTGAAGATACTATTTATTATCTATTGCTGCTTTCTGTAGACCTCGAGACTGTTGAACTCAAACCGACCCTAATCTAGTCGTAAATTCGTCACGTAACAATTCTTCAATCAAGTCATCAACTATTTCGATCCTGATGGGAACGCCCACCTTGTTGAACTGTAGAGACCCATTTCAATACACTGGCGAAGTCGCTAAAACCAAACAAGGAATTAAAACAGGCGCAGTGAAGAAAATATTAGAAAAATAGAGTTCCGCATTTGTTTTCTCCAATCATCAGCAAAAAAAATATTTAGAGAAAAAAAATCAAGCAACAAGTAATATTCACATCGATGTTTTAAACAAAGAGGCGGAGAAAAGCTTCGCTTCCTTGCGATACAACTCAAGCATAGAATGACAAACTAGTAGCCACAAATTCAGACGAACCCAGCTTAAGTGACAAAAAGTTTGAAGACGAGCTAAATCTACCAACGAGATAGAACTGAAAAAGGGCAATGAGATCAAAGATAATCGAACTCGTACCTACTGGTCAAAAGCCACATGCCTTAACCACCCGCTTATTTGTGAATAATGTTGATTAGTTAGGGCGTCTTGTTTAATCACACTTAGGCTTCCAAATCCACTTTCCCAAACATCTACAGTCTGCAATGAACAGCCTTCAATTGAAACAAGCAACTATACTTGAAGTAAAAGATAAAAAAGCTGCAGTGCATTTCTTAACGAATCCTCGCTAAGTTTTTTTGGAAGTTTGTTGCAGAGTTCCGCTTCCAACGGCACAAAGTCTACCTTCAACAGGTTCTGACCCTTTAAAATAGCATACTATTTTGATTTAAAAGTACAATCAATCATACCTAGTCAGCTACAAACAACGGAAAAACTGATTGACTTCAACTTTGAAACATTTCGAAACGGAAATCTCTGATCAAACTAAAAATCATTCACATCTTATGGGCAAATTCCAATTTCAATAACGGATAGTGATTTGCCTTTTTTATCAAATGAATTTGAATGGAAGTTTAAAAAAATCAAGAGTCAAACCGCGGAAACACAAATTTGATCAGGACTTTTTTTTCCAAAAAAAACACTCATACGCCGTAATAAATGTCTCCGCTTCCTTCACTGACACTTGAAAGCAAAAAAAAAACAGCCGTAAAACTAAAATTAAATGCGTTCATTAACAGTTAAAAACGGCTCAGAACTTCGAAACGCTATATTGTGAAAAACATCCATCTTTATGAAGCTTAAATTAATTTTAAGCGACACCAATTAGTGGTATTGCAAAAGATTGCCAATCTTTTTCTTGAACTGTTCCAGATAGAGTGGAACCGTAAGAACTGAAAAAAGTATAGCCTCAAGCGGCAATTCAATATTTTCTCACTTAGTGTCGGTCTGAAGCGCTGAACATTGTCCATAGTTTCATCTGAGAGTACTGCTTTTGCCAGAACTCGGAAGCCCCGAGGGTGATCTCTATCAAACACCTTGTTTATCGTAACATATTCACCCATAGCTTGGTCTTCTCTGAGATCCTCAAACACTCGAATGGTGATGTTTTCAATCGCTCTCCTTACTGCTCTTTTCTTCACTCTTCGCCAGCTATCGCCATACATTTGTATAGCTTCAGCCTAGTTTATTTTGAGATCCAACAGCCCAGTCTCTTCCTCATTGTAGACAAAATGGAAGAATTTGTACGGTGAACTTGAGCTGTTTCAAATTGCGATGGAGCAAAATCAAGTGTCTATTGATACGGCAAGGTTTTCAGTCCCAACTGATTTCGGATGTACGACTTCATAGCCAAATAGATCATTTTCATCGACATCGAAAGATTCGCTAAATAATCGATATCCTCGGATGAAGCTTTCTCGATGATATTTGCTTTATTCGAAACCTCGGCTGTCTCGCAGCTTCCTGCGACAGTTCGTTGGCTTCGCGTGAACCCAGTTGATGTCATTATTTGCTATTTACCTAACTATTTGAATCACCATTGCAAAGACACCAGGTTTTGGACGTTCATCGACGGCACATGTCGCCGAATGAGTTGAACTTAAAGCTCCATTTAGATTTTTCATCGGTGACTTCTGGCTGTGCATCACGTTAGTACACGAATCATGAGAATGAAAATGTTGAAGTGATTGCTATTCTTGTTTAAAATTTATTTCATTTGAATTTACAAGGAAACGTTTTTTTCTCATGAAAACTTTAATTAAAAAGTTGCGTTGGTTAAATATACATTGGGTACTAAATAAAATTGTCGTGAGTTCAAAGTCGTAGTTTACACTGGCATGCAAATAAGCAATTTACCACATCCTATTTCCTAAACCACTAGAGCCAGTGAACGAAAAAGCTATCTTGAAATGAACCAATAGAAATACATCTAACGATAGGACTGTTTGTGTATCTTTATCAAAGGGAAATCTAAAATCCAACTGTTCCACTAGCTGTTCCGACCATTGAAAATGGGGGAGAACTTTGTATTCGGGTCAGTTTTAGTTTTTTTTGCTTTTTGTTTTCCACATAAAATCAGGGTACCACAAATAATAATCGGACTGGGTTGAGTGATATATCATATTTAAGCATTTTAATTCTTAATCGAACCACATTAAAAAAATTCCCAACATTTTTTTTCTAGTGTCGATTAAAAACCGGCTAAAAGCTTTGCTTTTTCGCCTAATTTCGAGCTTATAAGGTGAGCGTTCAGGCTTACAATAGCTTATTTAAGCTTAAATTAGGCCATGAAAACTTAGTTTTACTGAAATAAAGTGCTCAAATATTTTCGAAACAAAAACTTCACAAAATTTCTGCAAAAAAATTAAAAAAAGTTTTTGAAAATTGTTTAAATTGTTTTTACTATTTTTTTCCCGTTTTTCTAGCCATTTTTCTACAAAAACTCTTTCCCAAATTGGCCTATTTGACAATGACTCGCATTTACCTAATTTCTTTTTTTTATTCAGATTTTTTATGATACCACAGAAAAAAAACGACAATAATTTGAAACAAAATTTTAAGACTATGGTCGGATAATTTATGTGGTACTTGCACAGTAACCAGCTATCCTTGTTAAATATTGACTTCTTTCCAGAATTGATCCAATAAAAAATCTATAATTTTACTTATTTTGAATGTTCATTCAATATTCTCACTCTTAATTATTGCAATATTAGATGCGTATTCATTTGAAGCATGCTCATGCACAAAACTGGGAGTGCATAAAGTTTTTCCATTATCTGGAAACACGCTTATATTCGGATAGATTTGCGGCGGATTCTTCTGAACGAACTGATAAGTTTTCTCATTGTTCGGGATTTGACTGTTGTTCGGGATCAAATCCAATCGAGGCGTCGAAACTTTTCCTCGTTTATCTTTCACAGAGGTACAGCATTTGCGGAGATTGGCCTTCATGAGATCCTAATTAAACCATTACACATTTCAAAATTATCGAATTGCTCCATCGTTTTTGAAAAGCCACACTGAAATAAGAAGGAATTTTACAAGGGAAACTTTATCAGGTTTTTAAACATAGGCTAAGCTGCGCTTCGAAATCATTTGCGAGAACACAACCAAAAAGCAGCTCTATCAAGGTAAATAATAAAAAAGTAGAAATAAGCCTCCAATTAGCAAAAATTCGGCCACGTGTAGGACTTGAATCTGCGACCTACTGCAATCAGGAGATTTTGAGTCTCATGCACTATCCCCTTAGCCACTCAAGCTTAACAACTGACAAACACTAGTCACAAATAAAGGAGCTACCTATGCGAGCACCAAAAACAAATTGACTCTTTTGCAATTAATAATTTGGAATAAAACAAACTGAAGGCACCCACACTAACTTTGCATGTAACAAATAGCAAAGCATAAAACCACATGTATAAAATTACGCATTTCAAAAAAAATGAGATACATTGCGTTAGAAAATTTTTGAAATCGAGATTTAATTAATGTTGTTGAAAAAATCACTTTTTTTGGTTCCTTTGATGATTTAAAAATGCATCAACTGTGTTAACTTATTACTATTGAAATGTCAAAGCACATGCTATCAAAAAGCTGCGAAAGTGCCCCACCATTATTGGGGTGCCGCACAAATATTTGCGACTTAGGTTGGAAAAAAGGAGGTTCGTACTAATACACAAGCTTTGCAAGTGTAATTATGAAATCCGAAATGCAATATATCTGATTTCAAAATACTTGTGGTGCGTACGATACGGGAAAAAATTAATTTATATCAAAAGAAACAGTTTATTTCTCCACATGAAAAGTACTTAATCATAGAACAATTATCATCAGAATACAACTTGGATGATGAAGGGAAGAGATTTAAGGCATATCTAAAGCCTTCTTAGTGCCTACGCAAAAAGTAGATATTCGTTGAGATAAAATAATGAACAAAACAATTACTTTTTTTTTTTACAATGATCTCTTTTTGATATTTTCTGATTCAGATAACTTCAGTTGATATTCTTCCATTGGAACGCTGAATGATAGCATATGAGGTATCCGCTTTAGCTAATCACGGAGCTCAAAAAATTTTAAATATTTGTTTGAAAAAAAAAAACTTTTTTTTTCAAAAGTTTGAAAAACGTCGATATCTCGAAAATGACACATGCCCAAAACTAGTTTTTGATTTTCTAGTGTTGTAAGAAACTTTTTCTCCTGGACATTTTTATTTAAGAGGGGCACTGAAAAACGTTGATAAGACAAAAACTCCAATAAGTCATAGACGTAGAGACCATGAACATAACATTCAACGAACGACTGCAAACCAGCATTTTTCTTTTGAAGTTAAATCATTTGCATAACTTCTTTTTGCAATGACCGAAATTTTACATTAGAAAAACTGTTTCCCCCATTAACAAACAAGCGCTACGATATACTGTATGCCAGGTTTTGTATTCGAAAGCAAAAATTTAGCTGAAACTGATTTGGGAAATATACGCCGTTTTGGAGATCACTCCAGAATTTTTTCAATTCATTTTTCATTAGTCGCTGACAATTTGACAAAAAAGAAGAAATATTCGTATACAGTTACTAGGTAGAAATTTCATTTGAGTATATGATTATTTCATTGTATACGAGGACTACCAGAACTTATTTTTACTAGAAAATCTAGGTTGTCTTTTCACTCCATTAACTATTCAATGGGACTGAAAATAGGGGGTGCGCACAGTAAACTGATGTTTCAGTAAATTATCAGATCAGTAAACCAATTTACGTGATAAATACATCGATTGCGGAATTTAAGTTTTATAGAACAAACTTTCCCTGAGCTGAAACAATGTTTTAAAACTACGAGGCTCATGGGAAGAGCTATTTTATTTCATTATTTGATTCAGTTTTTGTTTTCTGGAAAACAAGTTGTCATTTGGTAAAATTCTCAGTTTTTAGCTCATGTGATTACGTAATTGAATAACTAATTTTCAGTTTACTGATGTGATCCGACGTTTTTGAATTTCTGATGATCCATCGATTTACTGACCTACCACCGAAAATAGATACCTGATGAACCTGTGTTAAGGGCAGCCAATCGGATATGATATTATTTACATTAACTCTACTATCTTCCTGATAAAAAAAACTTGAGAGCAATTTTAAACAATTGCATCGCATTCCCCACGTTTTCATTCCTTTTAGATGATTTTTAATGAAACAATTTACGAATCACTAAATAATTAAAATTTGAAAATTTTATCAATGCCAAGCTTTAAACAATCCATTAATTCTTCTTATATATGACTCTCACTGATTTTGACGAAGTTCGAAAGGCCTGATATAGATAGATTGAAACGCTTTTTGGCAACTGTGAAAACGTGGTCGCATAAATTCTCGCAAAACGTGGTCGCACAAGAGTTTGCCGCAATATATTAGCAACAACATTAGCAATACATTAGCAACGTCACGTGAAAGTAACATATTTTCATGGTTAAGCGCTGAGCACCTTAGAGAGAAAAAAAAGTTCGACATACGAGTCAGCGGTAAATTTTAATGCGGGTTATAACAGAAAATAGCGCCATCTTCCATCGAAAAAAGCGCCATCTTCCATCTCCGTTCTTGTTTTTAACGCTTCAGTTTAAAATTTCAAATTCGAAAACCTCAAGACAAAATCATACTTACTTTTGCAATTGAAATATCTGAACAATCTCTGGCGATTTTCTTCCTGTACAGCTGAAACAAAAAAGCTATAGTAAGGCGGAAAACGAACGAAAAAGACACTGGGTTCATGAAAGAAGAAATAAAAAGCACTGGGTTGGATCTTTATTTACTTACTTCAAAATGAGCTTCGTCCACCGGTTGATTTCTGTTTGCACCTCTCATATCCTCAATTTTGATGACAAATATCCCCTTCTGATTAAAAAGCCATTTGAAGCAACCACAAAATCAAAAAAAATCAAAATCGATCATTTTACAGCGATTCAAATACTTACTTCTTGGTCTTTCCATTTGACTAATTCATGTTCGCTTCACAGAACTTCACAGAACAAGCATCTTCTCCCTGGGAACTCGATCAACGTGTATGTGCAGCTTTCTCGGTCATGATTCAACATTTGCTTTAAAAGTTCCGACAAATCTATTTTGGGCTCAGGGTTCGCAACGGATCCCTCGTGCTCGTCCATATCTATATAATTAGCTAATTACATTCACCCTAAAATAACGCTAGATTAAAAGCAAAAAGGAACTGTATGAACCCAGTGAAAAAGTGTAATGAAAGTCAGCTTATACTCAGGTAACTTTTTAAAGAGGCCTGATATAACTGGATAAATTACATACAGTATCAAGAGTTCGGTGCTTTTTCAAACACAAGCGCGAGCACGACAAAAAAAGCAGCTTTAAAAAGAGGGAAAAAAAGAGATAAAAAATAAGCCTAGAATTGGTAAAACTTTGCTACGTATCGGCTTCGAGCCTGCGACCCCGGATTTGGAGTCTCACACCCTGACCACGAACTCTTAACAACAGGCAAACACTAGTCAAAAATAAAGCAGCGACATATGCTAACTAATTGCGAATGCGATGCAGCAAAAGTGGCACCAAATACACATTGATACAAATTTGCAAGTAATAATTTGGAATATAACAAACTGAAGGCATCCACGCCAATTTTGCAAGTAATATTACTGTTCGAATGTCAAAGCATAGGCTATCGATAAGCCATGAAGATTCCCCAAAAGCGGCACCAATATTTGCTACTTAGGTTAGACAAAATTAGTCGTAGTATAACACTAACGCTCACTAAAGTTGACTTGTGTAAGAACTGGCAAAACAGATAATTAAATTCCATTTTCGAAATACGAAGTCGATCAAATTTTTTGTGAACTTAACTTTTTTACAGTTTACCTGGAGTTTACCTTCCTTTTAACAAAAGAATTGAATAAATTGAATTTAAAAAAAATCAAGTCCAGCCGCGAAAAAATAAAACTGGGCGTGAACAAACTTTAAGACTTTTTCCTGAAAATCAGTAAATGTAAGGGCATGGCAGTACAGCGAATGGAATTTTATTGATAACATTAAAGATATATATTACATTTAAAGACAGAAAGGGAGATGAAAGGTTTTATAAAAACACATTAGAAAGCAAAACAAGACTGCTCGTGTCAGGGCGAAGGCCTGAATATTCCGACTGCCTTTTAAGGTTTATGGAGCAGTAATAACATTAAAAAATTCACTGAAATAAAACAAAACTAAAAAAAAAACTCTAAAATTTGAAACTTTCATGAAAATCATCCCCCACACGCCATATAAAGTACAAAAGGATAGATTTCGCTCTTTGTAACAAACCAATTATGGCAAATAAGCTTCTTTTAACCAAGTTGGAACGATTTCTAAGACGGATTAACTCTCCGCTTACGCGTTAATAGCGCGAAATATATCGCGCGTTAATTGTACCAAATTGGCCAAAATGGCGATCTTTAAACCCCCGTAACTTTACGAAAAATGATCACAGGTGAAATATCTTTTCAAATTTAAGCTCAGGGCAACAATATTTTTGAATGATACAAAAAAATTTTTTGTCAAAAATGGCTAGTAAAAAAGTCGAAATTTGTCTGAAGAAAAAAAAAAACCCACCCCGAGCACAAATATTCCGTTACTTTCGTATCGAAAGTCGGAACAATTACATCCTATTTCGTGATCGGAACAATTATGAGCTCTAGCTAATTAAAATACATAGCATTGCAGCATATTTATAAATATGAACGAATTGAAACACTGGCAAGCAGAGCTCAGCACCACTTACGATACAATAACTAATTTCTAGAGTTTAAGAACTAGAGCTGTTAAAATTGCAACTTGGGTGAAGCTGGACATCTTTTAAAAATTGAGATCATGTGAACAAAGTTATTTACGGGAAAAAACTTGTACACACTTATTACAAACGGCCTACTTTTAGTACATCTATTACATTAGGGGCTAAGTAAACTCAGAATATTAATTTTTGAAGGTCACCAATCAGATTGGTAAATCTAGGCTATACAGGAACAAGACTGCTCGTATATCAGGGCAAATCTCTTAATGTTCCGTTAGTACTTAGGGCCAATGGAAAAATTTTTTTTGGTTGATTAAGTGATAAAAAATGAGAAATTTCTTTTTTGATTGTTTCTTCAATTTATCCCCCTACTAGCTATGTTAAATACTAAGGATGTATTTAGTGTCTCGTGTTGAGATAATAGGATTAAATTGCTTGCCTTAATTCAGTTTGGAACGAATCAAATTGCTTCTTACACGTGTTATAAGTACGCAATATAGCGCACTTTAATTATCCCAAACAGGCCAAATTTTTTAGCAATTTTAAAACGCACGTTACTTTACGAAAAAGGATCACAGGTGATATATGTTTTTAAATTTGAGCTTAGGTAAACAATATCTTTCAAATGGTAGAAACAAACATTCCGTCAAAAACGCTTAGCTAACAAGTGGAAAATTGACTGAATAAAAAAACCACATCAAGCATAAATATTCCTCACTTTCTTCGAAAGCCGGAGCAATTACACAGATCTTTGCTGGTTTCAGACCTGCCAAATTATGAAATGAACAATTTGAAATTTTATTTGAATAGAATGATACTAAAAGGAGCATAAATATTTCCAGAAGATATTTACAAAATTATGCAAATTGACAACACCACACAGCAGATAACTATACCGCAAACAAAAAAATACTTTTTGACAAAAAATAGAGCAAGCAAATTTATACGAGAATTACGTTTTTATAGATTGCTGTCTACAGTGGACCTCGAGAAATGTGAACTCGAATCGTCTTCAGTTCCATTAGTGATTTTGTCACTCAGAAGCTCCTCAATTAAGTCGTGATTTATTTGTATCCTCATTGGCAGTGAATGGGAAGCCCACCTAGTTGAACTGTAGAGACCCATTTGAATGCACTGGCGGAGCTTCTAAAGACAAAACGAAACAAATAGCTTTGCGAATAGCACAGTCTGTTCTGAAGACACTTGTCTTGGCAAATAGAAACAAAAATAATCTATCAATTTCTGAAAACGTTTGTCAAAATATATATTTTTAATTTTTAAAACAAGAGTTTAAATCAATCTGACCAGTCAAGTGATGCGAAAACACAAAAATCGCCCAAAAAAAGTTTTTGAATGCAAAAGAAAACGACTGAATGTTTTAGGCATTTTAACAAAAAATATATAAGACCTTAAGGTTCGCTTAATTGAAAAAATCTTTTTACAATGGACAGTTTTCTGATACAGCCAGACCATTTCAGAAATTCCATTGAATACTCATAAGGCTTCGATATGATCCAATAAGAACACCACACAACAATGAGATTTCTATCAAAAACACAACATTTATCAGTGCAGTGTAATCACTAAACAGATACTGTTTCGAAGAACTCGACTAAAAAGATTGGTTTAACTATTTTTCCCATCAATTCACATTGAGTTCAAATCATTGAACATATCTGGAGCATAAATGAATATCAGAAAAAAACTCTTTGCCCTAAACTAATTATACAGAGGCAAACCGGAGCTTTTTGATCAATAGCAGCTTTTTGAGAAAACTGGATCAACAGGTTAAATTTTATTTTGCTGGGAAATCTGATACTTAAATTCCATTTTCGAAACTAGAAGTCAACCACGTTTTTCGTGACCTTTAAACTCTAGCTGTTCGATAGTGGAGTTTGCCTTCCTTTTAACAAAGGAAAAGAAGTGAAGTTATAAAGAAATCGAAAATCAAACCGCGAAAAAAGTAAAATTTGAGCCTGAACAAATTTAACAATTTTTCCTGAGAAACAAAACAAAACAAAACATCGCTACCTATATAAAAATCTGAACTACGTTCGACGACTCTTAATTTACCAAAAACATCAATGAAAACACAACAATTAGCAAAACTTCTACAATTTCAAAAAAAATTCAAAAAGGTTTAAATTAAATAGATTTAGCTTAGAAGCGATGCTCTACCTTGCAAATAAAAGCATGAACAACGATATGAAAAGCTCCTAAAACTTTAAACAACAACACTAAATGTCAGCCAAACTTTTTTTGAGAAAATTTTGAAAACAATAGCAAAAACATCTTCAAGCTTGATCACCATCATCGTCATGTATTCGTTGAATAATTTTTGAATTTGTATCCTATCATATCTCAAATGTGTGACACGGGTTTTCAAATCTAAAGTGCTGAGTTAGGGTTTTTGCAAAAAAAAACGAAAAAAATTGTGGTTGATCTTGTTTTCTAACAAATCATATCATACGGCAATATACAAAAATAACTAATGAAACGAAACAAAAACATTCAATACTTTCAGAAGCAATTGATAATGAAGTTAGACAAAAAGAGAAAGAAGATTTCCAGACTCTAAACATCACCTCTGGCCACCCTAACAACTTTGGACATCCATTGAAACTGCCAGAACTAAGGAGCATGATGAAACAGGCCAAATAAACGTCAAAATTTAGACAGAAAAATAACGCCTTTTTAGACATCATTGGGGCCACAAAAACCACCATTTGGAAACCTTCAAGTCGAAACAAAAAAAATTATTCAACACATTTTACACAGAACAATTTTAAATTTGATGTTTATTTTTCTTATGGTATTAAATGAGGCATAAGTAGGAAAAAACATACTCTATAAACTTAGAACATAGCCAGCTGACAGTTGAAAAAGAGTAATGAACGCAAGGAAACAAAAAACTTTCAAAATTTAAAGAAAAAGTGTATGCCTTTGAAGCTCTTAGAATTTCAAGAACAATTTACGACTGGTGCTTTCTTGATAAAAAACAACCCAATTTGAAAAAATAGATCAATAGATAAAGCTTTCATTCTGCTGGGAAATCTAAAAATTAAATTCCATTTTCGAAACTAAAAGTCGTATTTAGGTCACTTTCAGCAGATGAATTTCAACTGAACTCAAAAAGTACTCATATATCTAAATGCATTTACAAATGCATTACTATGTATGGATGCACATCTGTAGTTATGAGAGCATTTTAAGACTTTTCCCGAAAAAAATCATCAATACCTATATACTTTCACTACGTCTTCACTAGGCTCATTTTTTGAAACATTAAAGAAATTAGCCAAAAATTACAAGATTTATGGCCAAATGTTAAACTTAAAACATAGCAAACAAACAGTTGGAAAGTCAACGAACGCAAGTCATTTTCGGCAAAAATTAAACCAATTTGAGAAAAAATTTATCATCAGGTAAATTTTTTATTCCGCTGGGAAATCAAATTATTTCCTTCGGAAAATTAAAATTGACTTTCGAAACTTGAAGTGAATCATGCTTATCGCGAACTTTTCATTTTAACTTCATTTACAAACCAGAAGTCAAAACGTGAAAAACCAAAGTTGAGCAGAACATATTTTAAGACTTTAAGACCGGAAAAACTATCAAAAAATCATCACAATTTAAATGAGAGTCTTCATTTCGTTCATTGGTTCTTAATAACATGAGAATCATGTGAATAAATCGGACTTCAATACATTTGCATCCGTAGTAAATTGTTAATTGATGCCAAAACCATTCACATACCAGGATTTTCTCTCTTTCAATAAAACATGTGATATCGCAGCTGCAAATTTCATGTGCACCAGCTAATTTATCTACAATGTGTTCAAAACTTGAAAAAAATTGCTAAAAGGCAAACAATTTTGAGAGCTGGCAAACTTATTGAAAACCAACCTCTCTAGAAGCAACTTCTGACCATTGATTGCTATTTATTTCTCTTCGTGCTTCCAAGACTTGCAGTAGTTGTTGCAGCAAATCAAACACGAGAACAAAATTGTGCACTTCTAGTTTTTTACCCGACTCTTTCCCAGCTGGCTTCAAACAGATTTCCAAACTCTTCAGTTTTTTCTCTTGATCCATTCTTTCTATGAATACAGAAAAACTTTACTTCCTGATCTAAGAATGCCTGTCCTAATTAGGAAGAAGAATTGACCCACCCCTTTCTTCCTCATTCCTTGACTGGTAGCCCTTGCATATTCGGTAACAGTAGAGCCTCCAACACAGCATAGCTGCAATGTCTCTGTTGCCAACTGCTCGCTCAAGATTATCAGGGGGTTCGTATCTCTTCCAAACAAACACGATTCCCGATTTCTCAAACGTCTCCAAACACTTGAAAAGCTTCAGGTGATTTCTGAAGCAGACAAAAACTTATACACTCTTTAGAACCAGACAACACAAGCTAGAAAGCTGATGAAAAGCGCAAAAACAGACACTAAAAATTCACCAAACAAATAAATCAAGGCGAAACCTTCGCAATTCCTATCAACTACGATTCCGTTCGGAGAATGATTCAATATTCACACCTGCAGCAGCGAAGCACAGTAGGGATTTAATGGTGCAGGCAGCATATGAGAAACCCCTTTGGGTGCCAATGCATTCTAGGAATGTCCGACAAACGAACCACTAGTCGGGCGGGGAAACAGGAGGAGTCAATGAAGACTGACTAAGACTAGGAACACTAGGAAAAACAGGATAATTAACGAGGACTAGCTCAACGCTAAGCCGGAATATATAGCATTTCCAGAAGATCCCATTTACGAAGGGTCATATCAAATTCCTACAAAGCGTTCACAAAGCGAAAGGGAGATCTGCGATATTACAATTGACACGAAATGGGAGAACGAATGTGAGCAATTGCGATAGACGGCTACCTTTTCATCCAAATGAGTAGAAGGCCGAATGCTCTTACTAGCTAAAAACGCTAACGTCGCTGTAATGGTAAACAATGTTAAAACTAAATAACTGTGGGATATCTTAGAAGGTACGTTCAGGCTACATCGGAATATTAAGATTAAGACCATTTATCCACGAGGGAAAGGACCAACACAAGAGCTGTACAGCTCATCACGGCGAACCGCTGTTGTGCCCCTGTTTAAGAGCTACATGCAATTTTTTGCTTATTTTCTGGGCTGGGTAATGTTGCTTCACCCTCAAGCAACGAGCACGGATCATGGTCAATCGAAAGGTCGGATGTTCGAAGCCCATCATTTTTTATTAGCCCCCGGCCTGCTTAGTGCAGGGCCAACCGTGGGTGAGGGGAGATTTCATCCATTTTGCCGCAGCGGTCGTGTTGAGGCTCTTGCGTACGAATCCCGCTTCGATCACGGCTGGAGGGGTCCCAGTGTCATCCGCCTTCTCAAGGTGGGATCGGTTGCGGCAAAATGGTTTTCGATGTGCTATATTAGGCTCTTGCGTACGAATCCCGCTTCGATAACGGCTGGAGGGGTCCCAGTGTCATCCACCTCCTCAAGGTGGGACCGGCTGCGGCAAAATGGTTTTCGATATGCTATGTTAGGCTCTTGCGTACGAATCCCGCTTCGATCACGGCTGGAGGGGTCCCAGTGTCATCCGCCTCCTCAAGGTGGGACCGGCTGCGGCAAAATGGTTTTCGATGTGCTATGTTAGGCTCTTGCGTACGAAGCTCTTGCGTACGAATCCCGCTTCGATCACGGCTGGAGGGGTCCCAGTGTCATCCGCCTCCTCAAGGTGGGATCGGCTGCGGTAAAATGGTTTTCGATGTGCTATGTTAGGCTCTTGCGTACGAAGCTCTTGCGTACGAATCCCGCTTCGATCACGGCTGGAGGGGTCCCAGTGTCATCCGCCTCCTCAAGGTGGGATCGGCTGCGGTAAAATGGTTTTCGATGTGCTATGTTAGGCTCTTGCGTACGAAGCTCTTGCGTACGAATCCCGCTTCGATCACGGCTGGAGGGGTCCCAGTGTCATCCGCCTCCTCAAGGTGGGATCGGCTGCGGCAAAATGGTTTTCGATGTGCTATGTTAGGCTCTTGCGTACGAAGCTCTTGCGTACGAATCCCGCTTCAATAACGGCTGGAGGGGTCCCAGTGTCATCCGCCTCCTCAAGGTGGGACCGGCTGCGGCAAAATGGTTTTCGATGTGCTATGTTAGGCTCTTGCGTACGAAGCTCTTGCGTACGAATCCCGCTTGGATCACGGCTGGAGGGGTCCCAGTGTCATCCGCCTCCTCAAGGTGGGACCGGCTGCGGCAAAATGGTTTTCGATGTGCTATTTTAGGCTATTGCGTACGAAGCTCTTGCATACGAATCCCACTTCGATCACGGCTGGAGGAGTCCCAGTGTCATCCGCCTCCTCAAGGTGGGACCGGCTGCGGCAAAATGGTTTTCGATGTGCTATGTTACTCTCGCATGAACAAAAGAATTGGTCTACGAGATCTAGCTCAAAAGCTCGAATTTGAACACATTGAAAAACAAAATCTTTAATCTCAAGAAAAGTGACATTCAAAAAAAACATTATAAATAGAATCTAAAAATTTATTGGAGAGTTTAATTTCACATATATCGCTGATAACAGCAGCGTTGCCTCTATTGTACAAAATGGATAGCAAAATTGGCTGTGGACAAATGTAATAGTGCTTTTGGGATACGGAAGCAAAATCGACCGGAATACGGGTGTATTAGTTAAGGATAATCGATACGTAAGGATTTTTGGCTTCGGATGTCAAACCCGGTGGGTGAAAAATCGAGGATCCCCATATACACATATACATGTCACTGGCGACGAAATATAACCGATATGGTTTCGAGATCTGTTACCAAAAAAAGAAATGAAGATTGTGGAACGCAAATACCCGGAATCGTCGCAACAATCAGCGGTAAGGTTTTCAAAATTTCACTCAAAACTGAAGCAAAATTTGACTTGATTTAGTCAAAAAATCCAACCACAAAAGAAATTTACCGCTGTCTATCAGACAAGAAGAAGAATTTCAATCCAACTCAGGAGCTAAGAGGGCTGATTGAGATTTTTCAAAGCTTCATAGATTCCGATTTAATACCTGCAACGGGACAATCAGTTAAGCACTAGACTCAAAAATACTAAAAATTGTGGTAAAACCTGTGTATCAGCAGCCCCTAATATTAAAAACCTAATGGATTCTGTAGCACAAGGTATTGCTGAGGTATTGCTAAGGTTCAATCTCCATTCATTTATAAAAAGCAAACCACACAATCAAGTTTGCTTCTCGAGTCTATTTTTTATATAGAAATCAATTACCTAAAACGTAAGATGAATTCGGGCTAAACAATCTCCATTCATTTCTTTCTCATAACAAATAGATGAAAACGATAATAAAAAACTGGGTCAACTGATCTGAAAACTCCTAATTGGACTCAAAAACTTTGCTTACAATCCTTCTGCCAAACAACCTGCATGTTTTACAGGAAAACTTGGGGATAACAAAGGGCCCATCCGTTGCTTGCTGTAAACTAAGATTGAAATGAAAAACGAAATTGAACCAATTGCCACAAAAAAAACACTTTTTTTTCAAACACTTCGACCGGAATTAACCACACTCTCGAATATTGTCCAACACTTCCCATATTTTTTCGCAGAAAAACAGTCGTGTCAAAACTGCGAAAAAACATTCTGAAAATTGATGATCTTTGTATCGAAAATTATGAAAAGTTTATAACAACAATAAGCTGTTCCAACAACTTAAGTCAATTAAAAACGAAATTGCATAAACCTACAGCAAAGTAAACTAAATAAAACTAAAACTAACTCCACGCATTGTCAGTAACCAGAAACCATAAATCCGAAAACTGAAAATAAAATAGAAAGAAAATTTTCTTACATGAAAAACCTTGAATTTTTCTCCCAGTAAGTTTAGAAGACCAAAAAACCATGATCTATATTAACCCTCCTGAAAATGAATAAAATAAAAATTGAGGGAAACAGCGATCAAATTTTTGAAAAAATTGTCAGAAGCAAAGGCGACAAATTTGGTCGAAAACTAACTTGAAGGTCGAAAAAATATTCAGCGTTTTAACCTTCATTAATAACATTCAATTAAGCAATGTAATTGACTTGTAAAATAGAGGAAAGTAAACCAAAAAAATGAACCGAAAGCGACGAAAATAAAAAAAAAGCAAAAAATACCAAAGAAATTTCATTAGAAATTTTGAACTGCAAACTTATTGGAAAACACAGTGCGATTCATATAATAAGATATAGATGCACAGTGTGATTAATAGACCAAAGAGCGAAAATATGCTGCACATACTGCATGCTGAAAGCTGAAACCCGTGACTAAATTCTTTATGGGAAAATGTCTTGTACCCTGTTGTAATGAAACTTCTATGGAATGAAGGCAATGCCAGCTATATTCCAAGAAACGGCTTTGCCAGTTGATATCAAGTTCCGTTGATCTAACTACTATGCCGGTTATATTTCAAACGTTTAAGACAAAAAATTGGAAAACTATCTATAACTTTTTGTTTCGTAGATAATTTCTCAGTTGTCTGTAAAGGCGGACGGACAGGACAGGACGACACATCCAACAAGTTGAAAGCTCTCTCGAGAGATTGGACAAGGAGAAATTTCGCGCCAACCTAAGCAAATCTACAAAGAAACAAAATGGCTTAGGTAGACGGTGAATCAACACAATACAAACTGAATAATCGGCCGACTAGAAACTATAACGAATCTCCAACCCCCAAAAATCAGACATTTGTGAAATTTTTGTTGAAGCAAATTTTAACAGAGGCGAATTGGAGCTTCGCATCACTTACGATTCAACTAGATATAACAAAGTGAATGAAGAAAGAGAGTTATGCAAAAAACATATCCAAACAAAAGAATGCAAAACCATCATCGAAACAAACTTAACCAAGCGACGATAAAGCCGAAAAAACATGAGCAGAAACTTTTTCATAACTAATTAAAAAATTACATGACCCACTTCCCCTCATAACACGCACAGGTACACAAAAACCATTTTTGTGCATGAATCGACGCAAAACGAGGCTGCTAAGAAAAAAAATTCATCTAACCAAGTGGTAAAAATTCAACTTAATACGTCCACAAGGGAGCGTAAAAGATGTGTTTTCCTTGGAACGACCCAAAATTAGATCACTAAGCCAATAAAAAGAGGCCGCAATAATTTGGGCCGAATAAAGCAAATCATTCACAAAAGCAAACTTAAAGAAAAATGCACACAGCAAAAAAGCGATTTCAAGATGTAGCAACTAAGCCGACAAAAGAATAGCAGACAAATGATTGGCCGACAGTTTTATTTAAAACCCAACATTACCTCCTTGAAACCGAAAATTTTGAACCTAGAGATGAAACTAGGAGAGTCCTGTGAACAAAGTTATTTA